AAAAACAAAATAATTTCACATTTTCGGTGGTTGCTAAAACAGCATCTTTTTCTTCCATTTGAATTTCCCATTTTATGTGCCATTCCCATTCCAAATAAATTGGTTTTTCGTCCTTTCTTTCCATATTTTCCTGTATTCCTGCATGAATTTTATATTTTTCATTTTTTCTTTTCTTTTTTGCTTGTCAATGACTATAGTTAAAGTTTCCGTATCTTTCCACACATTTTCTGTCTTTTTCCAGCTTTCATCTGTAATGTTTCCATAAAAAAAAAATCCCATTCTTTTTCCATCATTGTCTTGTGATTTTTTTTTCTTTGGTTTAATTTAAATTTAATACTTTTTCTTTATACTATAAAGATCTCGAGTATTTTATGGTCAATTTTTCCGTTTTTGTTTGTTCTTGGTGAAAAGTATTTTATCGTAGTTTCTGCTAACCAATTTTGATTAAGTGTGATCACAATGATAAGAAAAGTCAGGAGACATAAAAAATTGTGGTTTCCTTTCGGGCGATTTTAAATTACTTTTGCTCTGATGAACAATTATTACATTATATTTTACATAAGTGATTAAAATTCTTTCATCAAGTAATTTACTGTTTCCACGAAATTGTCTTGATTAATAAAACTAATTATTATTTTTTGTTTAAAACTGTAGTGCAATTTTTATCGAATTTCATAAAGTTTCATTTTATCCATCCACAACAGCACGTAATGCATTTGTTCCTTTTTTTTGGAGAGGATGTTGAAAGGAATATTTGAAAGGAATTTCGAAATAACAGGCCGATTTTTTATTCAGGAAAGTTTATTAATATGCTGTAGAACGGGTGATAGCTAAAGTTGACTTGCGCCGTGACTAGCCTTTAGATCAGAAAAAAGTAAAAAAAAAAAAGACTCAATCGAAGTTAAATAATTCAGTAGGTACAATATTTTTTCCGCTTGTTAAAGTGTATCTAATTGTAGGTCAAAATAGAAATTTTTATTTTATACATGCTGGATTACTCTTGTATCGATTAAGAGCAATTAGATGTAATTCAGGAACGTTCTCGAATCTTCTAGAATATTCTAAAATATTCTCGAATCCAATCGATGTAAAGTGTTCAGGAAAAATCTGTAACACTCTGTACCGTTCTGAGCAAAGAACGGTGAGATATCATTCAGGAACGTTCTTGAACCTTGTAGAATGTTCTAAAACATTCTCGAATCAAGTGTATGGTCTGTGATATTCTGTGACGTTCTGACCAAACGTCAGAGCTCAATTAACACCTTTACTGTATTTATTATATATAAGGCAGATTACCCTACTTTCGCTTAAGAACAGTGAGGTATCATTCAGGAACGTTCTCGAATCTTCTAGAATATTCTAAAATATTCTCGAATCCAATCGATGTAGAGTTCAGGAAAAATCTGTAACACTCTGTACCGTTCTGAGCAAAGAACGGTGAGATATCATTCAGGAACGTTCTTGAACCTTGTAGAATGTTCTAAAACATTCTCGAATCAAGTGTATGGTCTGTGATATTCTGTGACGTTCTGACCAAACGTCAGAGCTCAATTAACACCTTTACTGTATTTATTATATATAAGGCAGATTACCCTACTTTCGCTTAAGAACAGTGAGGTATCATTCAGGAACGTTCTCGAATCTTCTAGAATATTCTAAAATATTCTCGAATCCAATCGATGTAAAGTGTTCAGGAAAAATCTGTAACACTCTGTACCGTTCTGAGCAAAGAACGGTGAGATATCATTCAGGAACGTTCTTGAACCTTGTAGAATGTTCTAAAACATTCTCGAATCAAGTGTATGGTCTGTGATATTCTGTGACGTTCTGACCAAACGTCAGAGCTCAATTAACACCTTTACTGTATTTATTATATATAAGGCAGATTACCCTACTTTCGCTTAAGAACAGTGAGGTATCATTCAGGAACGTTCTCGAATCTTCTAGAATATTCTAAAATATTCTCGAATCCAATCGATGTAGAGTTCAGGAAAAATCTGTAACACTCTGTACCGTTCTGAGCAAAGAACGGTGAGATATCATTCAGGAACGTTCTTGAACCTTGTAGAATGTTCTAAAACATTCTCGAATCAAGTGTATGGTCTGTGATATTCTGTGACGTTCTGACCAAACGTCAGAGCTCAATTAACACCTTTACTGTATTTATTATATATAAGGCAGATTACCCTACTTTCGCTTAAGAACAGTGAGGTATCATTCAGAAACGGAAAAATTTGTGGCATTTTGTAATGTCTTGACCAGTCGTCGGAACTGAATTAACATCTTTGATGACTGACTCACTTTAAAGAGTCCTCTGGGGCGATAGTCCTTTAACCCCCATACTTTTGAAAGCAACCCCTGTAACTCGAAACCGAAACCTTCCTCAGAAACAAACTACACCTACTTTAATTGAATATATTGATATTGAATATTGATTAGAACGCACATTATTTTGCATTGGACAATTTCAATGCAAGTAGCGGTGTTATAGAATTTTAATGAAAATTATATAAGCTGATACTAGCATAGCCGTTTTTCATATGGCAATGTTGACTCCTACACATAATTACCTAAAATTCCCCGGGGCTATACATGTAGACAAAGATCACATGACAGACAAAAAGCGGTCTCAAACTAAGCGGCAGTATCTAGGTTAACTACAGCACATTTGGTCTACGTCGAATACCATTTTCTCGTATTATAACATAGGCTGTCTACAGCCTAAATGACTAATTAAACCGATTAGGTATGGTTCTTGGGCCACGTTGTCGTATACCGCTCTTAATTGCAAACGTTTCTACTTTAAAAGTATCTTCAACGTGTTCCTTGCGACAAGTTTCTTCTATGAACCATTTGTTCTATTTCCTTCAAATAGAAATAATTAATTTTATCTAAATTGATAGGCGAGATAAGTTGGTACTCTTTTCCATTCAAAATGGATTAGTTAGAGACATGTTAGAAGTAGAAGCAAGAGTTAAAAGGGGTAGTCATGGACTACTGCAGCACATTTTAGCAATTATTTGTCGATCTAGATGTTGATAAACCCTGTGGGCGTACAATCGCTCCATCTTAGGTGTGAACAGATTAGATTATTGCCTACAGTGCAATTATCGTCGTTGAAATTTTGAAATATGTACCTACCAGCAACACGAATTCTTTCAAATATGCAGATTTTATCTGAGTTTGTTGCCTAATACTAAGTAATTTATTGTAGGTACCATAGCACAATTAGCGTGTTATGACAGGTACAAGCGACAAGGTAGAATTACTATCAAATATACTTATTGTATGGTCTCTGATAAAACTATTCTCTACGCACAATTTGGTCACCAAATATTGCAAAATTAATTCAATAGTTATTATGTGTCGTATTACAAATCTAACATAAAACACCCATCAAGTTTGGTAAGCCTTAATTGTTCTGAAATATGAAGATTGGGAAAAAACTTTGGCGGTTGTTGTAGATGTAAAAGTTTTACTTCAGTTCCCGAAGAAGGTAACTTTGTTACCGAAAAGTGCTTCGGACAACTACAGTGTCGTGTTTTGGCGTTGGGGTTTTGAGCTTTTCTGTTTGTTAATTATTCTGGTTGAAATACCCTTTATGCCAAATTATTTACTTCAAAATAAGATGTTGTTTGACAAGTTATATTCCTGACCGTTAGGTACTATTAAATTATCGAATAGTCCAACATGAAAGAATGTTTAAAATTAAGTTAATATCTGTGTACAAGCAGTAACACTTCAAAAGTCTGAAGACGGTTAAATAAACCGAAACGTTACAAAAAAGTTATGTAATTATTTAACCGCCACCCTGGAAAAAATTACATAAACAAGTATCATATTTTTTGCAATCAAAATGTGCACATTTTATTGTGAAACGTTTATGGTCTTCTTTGTACCAGAGGTATGCTCATTTTTGTGCACCGCACTGTAACTATCAGTGATCTTGTTGAATAATAATTATGCATAGGAAGACATAAGAGAAGGTACTATACTCCACATTTCTCAACAGCAATTGCAAGAATAAAAATCTGCAATGTCCCTGAATTAGACGAGCAAAATATTGCAAAATCGGAGCACAATCACCTCGAGTACCTCTGTAAATAAATAAATAAATCAGACATATGCTGGCAAGCATGTCCGCAAATAATATAGATACACATTTAAGCAATAATAATAATAACAGGTTTCAAAAAGTGATCTGTAATGTCGTAATCACCGTAGCAAAGACAAATTACGTTTTGAATAAATTCGTATTTGTTTTACATAATCGTCTAGAGTCATCATTTGTGTTGTATAATTGAGTTTTCAATAGAATGTAGTTAGAATCACATTAAAAGTGCAGCATAAAACACAAAATAAAATGACGTAATTTTCGGGCAGTACTGTATCTTCAATTAAAATCTAAAACTGAATCTTTACTTTGCGTTACTTTTACTTTACTACCCGAAAAATATATGATTTAAAGATAAAAACTCATCAATTTACTTTAATAAAATCGAAATTGTAGGCCAATTATAGCCTTGGTTTTAAATTGTCTCGGCGCCTCCACCAAAAGTTTCGATAAATCTTTTTAATAATTGTTGGTAATGTTATAAAGAGTTATTTTACAACAATTTGCCTTAAGAATTTTTGGAAGGTTCTACATCGTCTAGTTAATTTGTTGTAACATTAAAATTGTACTAAAATACTTTCTGTGTTTGAGCAGATAGGAAAAGCAGGCAATGCATCGATCTTTTTTACCACATTTTGCGCTAGACACTACAGAAGATGTTTGGATTTTTAGGTGCCACTGTATAATTTAGTTAAAAGCCAATGTAACAGTACAGTTTTAGCGAGAATTTCTTCTGTCTTTGACCAGATAAACGAGTAATTCATCGAATTTTTCTATCGCAATCTTCACTGGACCCCACATAAAATGCCCCGAATTTTAGGGTTGTACTATACGCTGAATAAATTAAATCGATTTTTGGGTATATCCGAAAGGATAAGAATGTTTGTTTCTTTTTGAAATCGTTTATTTTGAAGACAACTTGGCTCACAAAGAAGTACAAGTGTTTTAATGTTTGTGACTTACATACAATTTTAAAATATCTTATGTACGGTATATTCTTAATAGAATTAGTTAATGATAAAGATTTAGTAAACACACATATATATTACTCTTTTTACTACAAAAACTACATTAAGTATCACATACGGTAAAGCTTATAAACTAAAGCTAATACTTACAAGTTTTTTTTTGTTTTCGGTTTCACTTTCTTTTAGTTGTTTAATTTAAGGGTAATTAATAGTACCAGGGGCTTTTCGAATTCCTCTAAGATTAATAACGAATTATGTACAAAAAATGGTTATCTTTCTTTTTTTTTTAAGTAGGCACTCAATTTGGTATTTTCTGGCACAAAAAGGTGTTTGCAAGTTCGATAGTTTTGAAAAATATTATTAGGTATTCACCTACTTATTGCACTAATTAAATAACTTTAATAGAAAATAAAATAACATTAGTTAATAATAATAATAATAATCTACTATCACATTTTATTGTTTGCCTTGTCCTAAAGCCTGTGCGTTTCCATGACGAATGCGGCATTCTCGTATCCCTCGGGAAATGTGGGAGCGGTGTCGATGTTACTTGCAGGCTCAGGTAACGGTTTCGACTTTTCAATGGTCAGTGTAACGTTGTTGAAAACGTTACTCTTTGCCTCCGCGGCCCTTTTGGCATCTTTCTTGTGTTGGGCGTACATCCAGCTGCAGATAAATTTGAATTTAAAGTTGCAATTCAAGAGCAAAAGTTAGGCAACTTATATGACGCAAGTGCACGGTAGAAGTTAGGCAACTTTTTTAACGTAAGTACGTGACGATAGTTAGGCAACTTGTATGACGCAAGTGCACGGTAGAAGTTAGGCAACTTTTTTAACGTAAGTACGTGACGATAGTTAGGCAACTTGTATGACACAAGTGCACGGTAGAAGTTAGGCAACTTCTTTAACGTGGCAATAGTTAGGTAACTTATTTAACGTAACTGCAATTGAAATCAAATGTTATTTCATAATTACCCGAAGATAAGGCAAGCAGGAATGGTCAGGATACCTCCTAGGAGGAAAAATGCCCCCGGAAGCGTTTGCATGGATGCCTTGTACGTTGCACTGTACATGGGACCATAAACTAGTGGCATTAGCGCCTCGCAAACGCCAAATAGTGAGTTCACTTTACCTAAAGCGATTTAATGAATAAAGTTAAACAGTCTTTTAACTGCAATTGTTGTTAAATAATTAACACTTACCTAGTTCATCCGTTGGTACCAATTTGGAAGCGATTGATCTCATGGCTATAAATGAGGTCCCGTTTAAAATTTCAACAATGGGACCTAGCGGAACAAATTGAAATTCAGTGTATCTTATCGAGGTTCAAGTAGCGACATAATTAAAAATTATAAATCAAAATGGGTTCATTAAGAAATGCTTTTCTTTTCAGTAGCGATTAGTCACGTAAAAATTTTCAAGTATTGTGTTATGTAATCTATCGAAAAGAAAACACGTAAAAGGAAATTGTAGTAGTTTTGTAAATATTTAAATTTAAATAATTTCGAATGGAATTTTGAGAATATTGCGTTTACTTACCAAGGTAAAATACCCAAGCCGTCTCTGCAAAGGTGTAGACAAAACTGCTAAGTATTTTGCTCATGCAAGACATTAAGCCTATAATAGCATCGTCGATTTTTAGTAAGTGGCTAAAAAGTCCTACAGAAATGCTTGTCCCTGAAATATAAAAACAACTGTCAATCGAAAGAAAGAAAAATGTAGGAAAAATGCAAGTAAATAATTAACTAAAAATTGAACTGGTACTGTTCTGATTCGAGTCTGAAGGCCGTCGTGTGTTGCAGTTGCCTTCCAACGTTTCGCTAGCACGAGAGGCAAGCATCTTCAAAGGTCCTTCCATCTCCAATGCTGGATGAGTCCACGGCCTTTAGACTCGAATTTGTAATTAAAAATTGTTTATTGTGTAATGGTGTCATTTTTTTATTCGGAAATATCAATGATCATATTAATATTCATTGTGTTAACCATTATAATTGATTAATTGATAGCTTAAAATGAATCAGATTAATTCGTTATTTGTCGTTTGTTTTATAGAACGATTTAGATGACTTGACGCAGATTTACATAATACTTTTGTTAATGTTTCTAACAACGATTCGCCCACGAAATCGTCAATTTTTAATGTCAAGATCATTCCTGAACGTGTATAGTTTGTAGGTTTTTCGCATGGGCCAAGTATGGTCTCACCACCGAGCGATTTACGAGACCACGAAATTCAATGGGTCTTAAAACAATATCGAATCGGTTTCGTCGGCCGTCAAAGCCTGAAAACTACAGTATATTGTGGTGTGCTAATAAATAATAGAATCAAGAAATCTTAAATAGCAATTGCGAAAACTTTACTGCTTATTAGATGAACCTAAATCTAATGAAACTATGGATTCTATTTCTTTCCCGTAAAAATGTAAAAGAACCGACCAAAGAAATGGGCTTGTATTTTTACGGTTTTAAGTTTTGCATTATATAGGGCTAAGTTAATATTAAGGGTAGGGTTAGCACATGAGCCAGCCACAACTCCGTGTTGGTGCACCCGTAGGCAAAACCTGTGCAATTTATTGGTAACTTACCGACCAAACCAACCAACATGTTATAAGTAGAAAATATACTGAAGTCGACTTCGTCCCAATTGAATCTGTATCTGGTGAATAGGTAGCTTACAACCATTTCCCCTGAAAAGAAAACAGAGTTTAAGCATTTTCCGGGTAACTATTTCTAAAGCAGTCAAACGAATATAACGAATAGGCTAAAGGGCTCATGGAATTCCTAGCTGTTTTATATTTCATTTGATTGACAGATTGATAGGACAGTGATTTAATTATTTATTTAGCGACCAGTAGCCTATTTGTTAACACACATCGACCTTTAGAAGAAGAGAGGGCTCGTGGAGAGAATATATAGGAAAAATTTGTTTAGAACTAATTGTGGTTCAGTTCGGATACGTGGGACAGTCGAAAAGATTGATTTATGCAAGAGTTAAGTAGAGCTAAATAGTTTAAAAAAAGTTGAACGCCCGTTCAATTGTTTTTACTCTTATCAATTTATCTTTTGTATAGTATAGAAGGGGGTCATACAAAAACCAATTTCGAAAGGACCTTGGCAATTTATTTGAACGTATTGACGTTATTTCAAAAGCGCTCGTCAATGTAACTAACGATGAGTGGCTAGTAAAAATGGTCATTATTATTATTTTTTTTTAATTTAATCGCAAAACACACACGCACACACACATGAACACTACTGCACGAACAAGAACATCATTATGCCATTAAATTGCTCGTATATTTTTAAATAAATTACAACGGGTTATTATTTAATGATAGACTCATTTGTTGTAACGTATCTCTCGTGTTTACACGGAGAAGATTTCTCCCGAACATTTATGAGTGGGAATATGAAATAATTGAATAATAACAAATAGAATCTAACGGTACAGTTTTTATTTTTTATGTTTCTCGACGAGTTATATATAGATATGTGAATAACTGCCTATCTGTATTGATAAAATGGAAAGTCTGACTAGAATATTCAAACCACCCCCGTTTTAAATATGTTTGTATGTTGTTAAGTTAGAAACTACCCTCAAAAAATATTTGACTATCTGCCTCTTTGTATGGTCTAATCTGGGACTGATTTCGATGGGACTTCACCGACATAAAGATGAGGTTTTTGGGAGTAATTTGTGCTACATTTTTTATTTTGTGACCGACGTTACGGTTAAAAATCCAGTAACAACTAACCTTCGTCGACAATAACTAGAAAAATTTAATAATTCTTTTTTGCATGTTTCGCGCACAATGGATTGTTATTCTCCTTCAATTTTCACGGTTTAGATGCATATATAATTAAAGTAAATTTATTAGATTTTGCATAATTTCAGTGTCAGATAAATTTTAATTAGACAGTCCACTCCTTGTAATTCAGTTTTTCGCAGAAGAAATCGATTTTGATTTAGAAAGGTCTCGAGAAATAATTCGTAATTGTAATTGAATCTCGTGTTTTGATATTTAATACATTTCCTTTCGCTGTAACTGTATACGAAATGTAGAGGGTTGCCAGTGTCGCTAATAAACTTTTGTGCAGAAATAAATTCAAAATTTTCATTTCCAGTCGAAGTCAAATTAATGAATCGATTGACGACATTGTTTATTAATATCGGTGACCAATAATGTTTCATTGTTTTACTCTTTCGTCTTAACATTAATCACGTTTACAGTTTTTCACAATGGACTTGCCATCTTGAATTGGGATGGCTTATTAACCCAAATGGAGTTTTGGGTTTGCTACATTAATAAGGTAGCCCCTTAAAGTCCTTGATTGTAATTCTTAAAATGGACAGTTACAATACGCATGAGTTTTATAATGACATTCTCACTAAAGATTTAATAAATAATGGGTTTCAAGGGCTAACATTTGACTATGGACAATTTTCGTCTATGAATATATATTGTAGTGTATGTAGTACATTTATAAAGTGAAACCCCTCATTTTATTTAAGTATTTAGTTTAATTACACCTATGGAAACATCTACAAGGTCTCTGTAAATTATAGCTTTGCAAGTTGACATGTTTTTCGTACTATGTATGAATTATAAATTGACATAAAATATTGGCAGTGTGATTGTGACGTAAAAAAATTACCTGCAGAACTTGATTATTAGGTGAAATAAATAAATTTTTGCCTTACATCTCCTTCAACATTATGTAGCACCCTTCTGACAGTTTTTACATTCAAACTACCAGAAAATCATTGTTATCTCTTTAATGTAAACATAGTGTGACGTAACATATTGCTTGACCCCCTAAAACATTGCTTGGCCCCTCCTAAAACATTGCTTGATCCCTCTAACACTGCTTGACCCCTCCTAATACATTGCTTGATCCCCCTAGCACTGCTTGACCCCCTTAAAACATTGCTTGACCCCCAAAAACATTGTTTGACTCCCTAAAACATTGCTTGATCCCCCTAAAACATTGCTTGACCCCCCTAAAACATTGCCTGATCCCTCTAACACTGCTTGACCCCTCTAACACTGCTTGACCCCTCTTAATACATTGCTTGATCCCCCTAGCACTGCTTGACCCCCTTAAAACATTGCTTGAGCCCCCTAAAACATTGCTTGGCCCCCCTAACACTGCTTGACCCCTCCTAAAACATTGCCTGATCCCTCTAACACTGCTTGACCCCTCCTAATACATTTCTTGATCCCCCTAACACTGCTTGACCCCCAAGAACATTTTTTGACTCCCTAAAACATTGCTTGGCCCCCCTAAAACATTGCTTGAGCCCCCTAACATTGCTTGACACCCTCTCCCTCATGTGGTGTACTGTACCGTTTAGTAAAACACCCCCTCCCCCTTTACATAAAATGAACGGTCCCTAATTTCCTTGTATTACGTATACTATTTACATGTATCGGTTTTTAAGGTAAAATTAATTACAACTTCGATTAACTGGCCTTTGTCGGCTTTATAAATCACAAGGAAGCACTTCAGATTTAAGCCGGCCATTATCTCTCTCTCGTATTCAAAATGTTATTAATCTTGTAATAAGGCTCCAACGTTTTATTATTGGCAATCACGAAATGCTTGTTTCTGTATAAATAAATCAGCGCTTGTCGATAAATGGTTATTTATTAGTAAAATTCACTAAATGAACAACTTAGATTCGTGACATCCGTTTTTATGATGCTATTTTTTTTCCGCTAGATCATATAAATTTATTCTCGTCAACTATAGCTTCCATACACTTAAATAACGTGTTGCATTAGGTATGAAACCTTGGCGGCGATTCTCCTAACATAATTTTTTAATATTAATTACCAAATCAGTTTTTATTTGCTAATGTAAATTGTTAAAGAAACCGTTGAAGGTTGAAGTTTGCCAATACATTATAAATATATATTTATTTGACTATTATTAGCGTCAGAGACCACACGAAATCATTACTGATTCGGTTAAAACACACCGTTTCATAAAATGTAGTTTTCGTTTTGCGTTTGCCTTTAGTCAACCACGTTTTTCATTAATTTGATTTAGTTTAAACGTAAAAATTAGTTACTTCCTTCTAACTACTTACATATGTACATTATTTCGCTTCTTGTTTGTACCAACTTTATTTTTTCTGACCTTTTCAAATGTGGTCAATCAATCTTGATGAACAATCGTGACATTTCCTGTTTGGGAATCTTGTTCAAAACATTTTTACCATTATTCTAATCGCCAGATAGATTTCTATCAGCATGCTTATTAAAAATAATGGCATAAAAACGAACCAGTTTCCAATTGCGTTTTTAAATATTAACGCAAAATTTCATGGTCAAACCAAACTTGTGCCTGTTTTTTTCTTCAAACGTTAGGGGATTTCTTTAGATGATGACGATTTCGAAAAAGATAATTAGATGCCAGCGTCTAGTTTTTATACAACTTTAATTGTCATTAAAATGTTACTAAAGTATTCATCTATATCACATCAGTTACTAATCTTTTGACTGTCTTTTGTTTTTTGGTTAATGAAATGGCAGAATGTTTTTGTTCAATAAGAAAATTTTGCGCAAAGATGCATGCATGGTACGTAGTAGGTGCTCTCGTGCTGGCCTTAGTAATTATCTGACATAATTTGATTCCAGTTACAGTGACTTCCTGTAGATCATAATGATCGAAACAATTGAAACTTTTGTGTTACCGTGTCGGCCTTGACATTCGCGCAAATAATACTGAAAATCGGAAATGGCTTTTTGTTGTTGTTGTTGTTAACAAATTGTCGAATGTTTAATTAAATGTTATCAAATTCTTGTTAAATATATCGAGGAGGTTTGGTTTCAGATAACAGGGGCGGAATGTCACTTTTTTTTCGTACATGTACATAAATTTAATTTCAATAGTTGTCGAACGAAAAAAGTCCTTGGTATTTTACTTGACATTTGTTCATGAATGTAAAATTAATTTCAAAATGCTAATAAGGGCCACTCGAGTTGGGCTGATCCAGTTTTTGTAATGGATAACTAATCAACTAATAATTAATCAACTCAGTGTAATATTTAATAATGGTAATGAGTCACTTTAATAGGAGAACAAATAAGCAAGGTGCAATCCTTGGGTCAACTTCCCAGTATAATGTGTCAAATAATTAAATATTTTTCAAGAAATCGCGTCGATCGACGTCCCAACATCCCGATTTAATTTTTTTGTTCACTCAAATATGTCGCAAGATTACCATTTCAATTTTTGGACCCAGCCCTTTGATCGGGAAGTTACCAAATGTAGAATCAATCAAACTAAAATCGTTAGATATTTACAAATCGTCTGGTGTTGGGCTGTTTTGCCGTTTGGGCTTTTTGTTTTCGATTTTTTTGACCTGAACTCCTCATAACCCATCTAATCGAACTAGTTACCTTGCAAGGCGTCAGTTGCGTTGTTAAAAATGCCCGGAAACTGGTTCTTCCATGTCGACGGCAAAATAATTGCCAAGGAATCTAGCGCAAATTGCTAAGACTACTCCAGTCGTTACATTATTATAGTTCAAAATACACAAGTCACTGATGCATTCGTCTTGTGTGGACGGTCGCGTGACTGTTCCTCGATTTAATTTCAATAAATATTTAAGATATGTCGTCCCCACACCTGAATATTTTATTATTCAATTGACAAAGACGTTCAGGAGGACATACGTCAATTTCAAGTTACTACATCTGCCTTTTTAAATATTGACGACAGTTTTTGCGTTTCGTCAAAAGTCAGAACATATCTGATGATATCTTTGCAACCTTCAACTAAATAAACTTTCAGTAAACAATATTTAACTTTTCAAATATTGGCGGCAATCTCTGTATGATATTACAAGTCGTTTCTTATCTGACGCTATCTTTCAACCTTCAACTAAATAAAGCTTCGGTGGACAATTCTTAGCTTTCCAAATATTGGCGCCAGTCTCTGCGTGATGCTATAATAGCATAACTGGCGCTATCTTTGCAACCTTCAACTAAATAAAACTTCAGTAAACAATTCTTAGCTTTCCAAATATTGGCGCCAGTCTCTGCATGATGCTATAATAGCATAACTGGCGCTATCTTTGCAACTTTCAACTAAATAAACCTTCAGTAAACAATATTTAACTTTTCAAATATTGGCAGCAATCTCTGTATGATATTACAAGTAGTTTCTTATCTGACGCTATCTTTCAACCTTCAACTAAATAAAACTTCAGTGGACAATATTTAGCTTTTGAAAATGTTATACTTCTTGGAATGTCGGTTTATATATACAATAGCAACGAGCGGAACTGTTCGTGTACCGCTTGCAACCGAAACATTCCAGAAATGCGTCGATTATGCCGATGATCGTTCTTAGATTGACGGAAGGTGCGAAATCGTGTTTGTCTTATTTTATGTATTACATCAGTTCTGTAGGTAACGAGACTGGCAGCGGCTGTTGTAGTAATCCACCAAGGTTGCAAGCGGCAATTTATGTCGTAATTATAAAGAGAAATACAATGCGAGTGTATCGTATGCAACCTTTGAAAGCGCAACTTAACTTATCGCTATTAGAGAATGTATGTCATCAATAAGATGAAACAAAACGATAAGGCGAAAGGATCTTCACCTGTTAATACGTTAACGCAATCTTTTAATTCGATTAATTTCCTTCAAATTGGTGTAATTGAACGTAAAAGCGATTTTATATGTCAATTATTTATGGTACTACCTGTTGCTTTTTTCAATTGTTTACAGAATAATAGAACAAATGACAATTGCACATTATAAAAAGAAACAATTACGGTAAAACAGAATGAAAACGTCTGTAGAGAAATTGTTTGAATTATAATAATTCAATTGTTTCGCTTTACTATTTATATGGATACAAGTTCAATGTTTTCATTTGTTTTGCCATACCTAAATACAGTATAAAAGCGCGTATGGAACGACGATGACAGGACATCAGACCTTGCAACAACGTCTCTAGGTCCTGATTGTCGATGTTATTAAACTCTTTTGTGCTGAATGCCAAAGTCAACGTCGTTTTGAATTTTAAAATTGTTGCATACAAGCAGAGAGAAGCGTACACGTACACGGATCCGTGCGAAACGTATGTGTATAAAGGAGGAAGTTGCTGTAATAAGGTCGGCCTCCGCTGCAATTCAATTGCAATTATATCAAACCGCGAAAATTATTAAAATTGCAGAATTGTTGCATTTTGACCTTCGATACGTGACATGGAAATTAAAAGCTTCCAATGTCCTTCAAAACGGCAGTTTTTCTCGTCGTCATTATAGACTGTTATTATCAGGCGTTTTGGGATGTTTATTTAATAATGTTAAATAGTTCAAAGGCGTCGATAATTCTGTAAGGTTTCGAGGTCCGGCTTGAAGGACCATGAGATTTTTGCGCATGACGAAGTATATGGCAAATCTAAGGGCACGTATGTACATATAACGGGTATGTGGGTAGTACTTACCGTGCATGGGTCCAATGACTACCATCACAACCAGCATGAGCATCATGACCTTCATCTTGCGATTGTTCTCCCCCTTTTTGAACGCGACCTTGAACGTTTCCAAAATGTGCTTCCAATCGAAAAAGTCCCTGATAAGGGTACACCTTCCCTTCTTCGGCTTCGGCTGGTCGATCTTCTTGGGCTCTTGTATTCTGAACAGCCCGTAGAGGAAGGCGATGACGTAGAGTACCGCCGAAATGGAGAACACCCCGTAGAAACCGATTTTCTTGTACAACACCCCGCTAAGGGCCATCCCTATCGGGATTCCCAATGAACAAAACACGTTCACGCACCCTATCCGCAATGTCCTCGTTTCTATAGTTGTTACGTCTGCTATGTAGCTGAATATGCCCATGAACATGGTGAACCAGCCTCCCGTTAGTGCCGGAAAGAGTCCTTCGACCACTCCGGCCACCTCCATGGGAAGTTCGTAGAAGAAGTAGGTGCAGATCATGAGGCCGACGACAGTACAAAATTCCCCAATTATGGGCAATAACATGCACGGTTTTCTCAAGCCCCATCGGTCGCTCCACGCTCCTATGAACATGATCAGGAATGCCGGAAGTCCGGATTGAAGAGCCGTTTTCCAGATACTCATTGATGCAACCTATGGAGCAATGATAGTTCGGGCTAAATGAAGAGAATTTTGCTTGAAGTCTTTGACAGGATAAATGTAATGAATGTGGTTAGGGAAAAGGAAGGAGAACCTGTGGGACTCGGATTGTGCAGAAACATGACAGAGCAATGAAAGTTAGGGCTAAATGAAGAGAATTTTGCTGAAAGTCTTTGTCAGGGCAAATGTGATAAAAGCAGTTAAAGAAAGAAAGGAGAACCTGTGGTACTCGGATTGTGTAGAAACATGACAGAGCAATGATAATTCTGGCTAAATGAAGAGAATTTTGCTGAAAGTCTTTGACAGGGTAAAAGTTAAGGAAAGGAAGGAGAACCTGTGGGACATGACTGTTACATTCTGAATATTGTTTTTAGTAATAAGAGCCGTGAATTCTTCATAAATGGAGATGATAGTAGATACATAGTCGATTTTTTTAAAAGTTCATCATTGTTAGTGTAATAATTTTTTTCTAGAAGTTCTCCAAATCAGAATCTCTTATCGTATTCTAGCGAATCAAATTAACTATAAGTGCTAAACGTTCATTTGTGGGGTTTAACAGGAAATTCCAATACTTTGACATATTACATTTGCACTTGTAATTAGCATGGTCGTTAGGTGTATATATGTTTACATTTTGAGACAGTTATCAAACCTAATTTACCTATATGGACAAATAGACATATCACGTCGTCTGTATATATATATATATTTAATACGGTGAATACGTACCAGCTGTTGAACAGCCGCTTCTTCTCTTGTATAATTCGTGGTATTCCTGTCCGAGAGCGCGTCGCAAACTTCGTCCGAGTAGGCCAAGTTGACCCTGCACGCCTTCTCCAAGTTCAAATTTTGCGTTGCCAAACTGGCCAAAACGCTAGGTACTATGTAACAGGCCAACATGGGCTCCACGGTTATGTGATTACACATGAAAGAGTATTTTTCGCGGAGGTTCATGTTACTCCAGGTTTTCTTCAGTTCCCCGTCGTTTTCTTTCCCGTTGGCGTTAGCCTCGTCGTGTTTACTCATGTTCTTCAATTTCTGTTCGCTTTCGTTTGGTTTGTTCTGGTTTTTGTCGTCGGGGACTGCGGCCTGTTCCTGGGGTTTCGAAGGTTCAGTAGCATCTTCCATTTGGGGAGACATTTTTCGTGACAGATCTGGAAGAAAACTTTTTTGATTAGGTCCTGTAAGGGTTGGAAAAGGAGACCGCAAGTTTGGCCCACGTATCGAATGCGATACACAGTATAGTTTTTTGAATCGCAAAAAAAATGGCATGTGTTAACACTAATTCGAAGGTGAACCACAATAGCGATGATTGAAAGTATCTAGCATTTAGAAAGCTTTTCAATTAAATCACCTTGTTGAGGTGTCTAAAAAGGTGCTAAAAAATTTTAAAGAACAATCAGTGACACAAGACTTTGGTTATTGAAAACTAGTTATGTTGATTATGCATTAATATTTATAATCATACAATTATTAGGCAAAATTGTAGATGAATGGGTCCAATTAGGAATTTTTATTAATTTCTTGTAAAGAATATACCTAACAAATTATTATTTTTCTCTTTCAATATATATGTCTATAACGATTACACTAAATAATTTTTTTGATTTTTGATTTTGAAAATTCTTAAATCTCAATAAGACAATTCGCAGTGAATTTGTTCAAAAGATTTTTTTAAATATTTGTCCTGGATTTTTACCCTTGAACACACCTGGTTGTATTAATCTAACCCTATTCAAAATGCACAAAACAATTTACGATATTATAAATGCTAATAACTTTTGCTCTGTTACCTATCACTTCATATTGTTGTTGCTTCATGTTCTACTTTCGTTTGCTGCATTTGCAATAAGTGAAAGTTTTCTGTTATATTATTATATCGTAAATTGGTTTAGAAATGGATTTAAGAAAAACAGAAATTGATAAAAGTTACAGTTATATTATGCCCATTTAAGTGCAATACTTTGTATGAAATTTCGATTGCAAACAGTACAAAAGCACGTACGGTGTTGTTAAATATTAATTGGTTATTGTTTATAATTATTTCACATACCGATCGGCGGTGATTCGTTAATAGTATTGTTTTCTCTTTTTACATGTGCCCACAACTTTTCGTTTTATCAGTAATACAGTATTATGTTTATAAACAAAAAAGAATGCGCCATGTGAATTGTTTAAAAAAAAAACCGGTGGACTCTGCGTTTTTACAAATAAATTGATTGTAATGTATGTGCATGATACATAAATTTATAGTTTTAATCGTTTTTTCTAGTTCATGTCCCAGTGTAGCGAGCACGTTTTCGAACACGTTTATGCAAAATTAAAAAGAAAAATCATCTTAGCTATAAAGATTACCATATATATANATATATTATAAATTGTTTTATTATTTATATTTTTTTTATTGGCAATTGTGATTCTTTGAAAAAACAAAAGCATCAGACATGCGTCATTCTGATTTTTTTTATTCTTTCATTAATTCAACGACAAGAAGCGACTCGAAATGGAGTTTTACTGCCAAAAGCTCATGAAAGAAAAAGTAATTCGAATTTAGGAAATTCTATTTTAAGAACGGGTACTGTTATTATACTGGTTTAAAATGCGTAACAGATACATAGACTGAAAAAAAGATACAATTTTTATTTTACAGTTTAAAATCGGTTGCGTATCCGTCACCGCAAATTTTACTTTCGCTACAGTTTTGAAACGATATTGTTTACTAAATATTGCTAACGGCATTTAAAACGGATTCAAAATTTCCTATTTGGAAACACGTAGTGTAGTTGCCTAGATAAGTATAAGTGATAATTTAGGTGGGTGCTACTGAAATTAATCGAGTGTTGTCTAAAATCAGATAAACAGATGAAAAAACTGAAAGCGACCGATCCGAAGTCATTGTACATTTGGTTTGCCATTAATGGTAACGATATTGAACGTTGTTTAGAAAAAAGAATATGTATGATTGCGGACTTGTCCCATGTCGAACGTCCCACCTAATAAGAAACGATTAAAACGATAAATTTTGTGCGAACTGAAACACATCGACAGAACCGTTACAATACTTTGACTCATGGTTTTTTGAATCTTCCAAGTTCATAGCTCTCGTGCACGGCGGTCTTCTAATGTCTAAAGGCATTCTGCAAATTGTGGTTCATTGAAATAACAACAATCACCTTTGTTTTATTTAACGTAAACGAGAGGCAATTGTTTGCCGACTAACTGGAATAGTATTTTTCGTGATAGTCACTGTAAGGGTTTTCTCTAATTGTAATGTTAAGTTTATTGAAAAATCTACGTACAGTGGAATTCGTTTATTATGACTCCGCCTGTATTGACCAACCGCTTAATATGAAGTAATTGCAGTGTTAAGTTTGTTTGGTTTTCATATTAAATTCTCTATAGGAAAGTTTGGATATAATGACTCCGTTTATATCGCTTATTATGACTGATTGTCAAGAAATCATATCCGGCTGTAGTGACTCAAATGATACATAATAACATTTTCGCTCATTTTTCTGACCCTTTCTAACCCAATTCGTTTTTCTGTTAATAAATATGTACAATTTGTAGTTTTTGTCTCTAATTAAACTAAATAACTAACTGAAATAGAAAGTGGTTCATTTTCTAAGACTATTTTTTGTATGACGCCCACTTAGTATGGCGTGTTTGTTATTTCCTTTCGATGTCATTACAAGCGGATTCCACTGTATCATGTAGAAATTAGATGTCTATTACGGAACGTATAGTACGTAATAGCTGCAGGTTGAACGCGAATGGGAAAGAACCATGCATTAAAAATTGTCGCCCATGTCCTGACCTTAACGCTTTCTGTCCTAAGGATAGTGAAAAATGGCGTATCCGAATGTCTAAGACATTCTTTACTTTTAGTGTTTATGAACTGGAGGAGTTTTGGATTATATCCAACTTAAAATGGACATACGTCTCTGTGTCCAGTTGACCTTTCAGTCTTCTGTTTAAATTATTTGGATACTGAACTGCAATGTTCGTGATTATAATAATGAAATTTTACCCCTCGGGTAACTGGTTAAAAATATAGCTACACGGTGAAAATGAGAAAGGAAAATTTACCTAAATATTAAAGCGATATTTGCTGTTTATCCCACTAGCCCGTTGCTTTGTAAAAAAAATAATAAAAATTACAATTTGAACCCGAATTTGTAAAAATAAAATCCCAGCGGAAATAAATGTACTACGTATTTTAGTTGATATTACAAATTAAATTGTAATAATTAAGAAACTTGAAACAACTTGTGAAGATTCACACTAAGTTTATGTGAAATTTCCTTCCAATAATTTAATGAGCATATAAACAATAGACGTCCAAATTATCTTATCACGTAAAGAATTAATAATAACGAAAGTACATCCATATAAAGTACTTCTTTTACAATGTCATAGTAGTTACACTAGAAGCGGTTGTTTTACAACACATTGAAGTTGTTTTGTTTCAATTGTATCTATCGATTTCGAGCACCTTGAACAGCCCAAACATTTCTACATTAAACAATAATGTAATCTTACAATAATAACCCGAGTGGTAACTGATTTTCTTTATTAAAATTTTTTGTGTGCAACAAAAAATTCTAATACCTCAATTGACGGACAGGCTGTATGTAGCGCTGGCTAGAAGTTCTCCGAGTGCAATTAACAGTTACTCGACGAATGTATTGTTAAAAAACCGAATAGACGTTTACAAAATCCTGCATTTTTTATTATTATTGCTATTAAAAAGTTAATCAATGTTCTATTCACTATTAAAATAAAATGGCTTGCGCGCATTACGTAGTTTACCATTACTTTTAAAAAAGAAGTAAAAAAGCGAAGGTTGCGGTGTTAAAAGGGGAGGTTTTCTACTATTAGAATTGTTTAAAATTTTAATTTGTGTTTGATGTAAAAAATAATGAGAGTGAAGCTTGCGATTTGAGAGCTTTTATCTTTCCATAGAGGAAAATTATTCTATGGCATTTTGATAGGGGTAGTTCAAACGGTTTTGGTTGTGTGCCGCCGACAGCCCCCTTGTAAATATTCGAATCTGTGCCCTTTAGAAAAAATGAATTACCTGCAAATTGACTCTCGATTTTTCCTGTTTTCCACGGACCCTCTGTTTTACATTTTTAATTGTTGCACACTCGCCTCAAAGTTTTCACTGCCAGCAACTCCGACGCGTTTCAGTTTTTCAAAACTTTTTCACGTTGCGTTGTTGTCTTCGCCGTGTGTTGTTTTGTAGCCGTCGAAGAGCAAGGTGCCACGGTAAGTGTTACGCGAATATGAGTTTGTAATTCTTGCGCTTCCACTATCAGCCTTAAATGAAAAGCTTTACGGTCTGTCCCCCCCCCTCCCTCTCGACCATTCACACGACTTACACACTACACCGTGGTGACGTTTAAAACGCACTCGCATTGGTCAAATGCGCGAACAACTTCGCTTATCATTTCGCTAATTATCTACCTGGTGCTCTTATCGTTTCGGACAGGAAAGACAAGCTACAATTGAATGTACAGCCTTAGATCATAACTCCATAAAATTTGTGACACAATAGTACCATGAATTATGCCAAAAAAGCACTCTGGGCATGGACAAACCAAAGAAAGCCATAGACTGGTTGGACACGCAGCTTCACATTTTGCTTACCCTAGAACTAGAACATCCCATATCCTTAACTACTTATTTGTGAACAGTAATCTAATCTAGGTCTACCTCTACCCCTCCTAACTCCTGTTTCTGCCTCTAATATGTCCCTAACTAGCCCTTCATGCCTGTGAAGGTGTCCTACCAACCTATCTCACCTATTTCTTATTGACTTCCATAAAAACCTCTGTTTTCCTATTCGGAAAAATCGTTAGCATAAAGTTTTTAAATACAAAATGCAAAAAATTTTTTGACTTGTTATTACAAATGTATAATACAAAACTAGATTTCCCTTTTGTATTTTAAATGCTAAATGCAAAATACGTATTTTCAAAATACTTTTGTAGTACATTTACTTAAGTATGAAAGATTTTTTAAGAAAATCTTGCAGGCATTTGCTCCTTTTTTAAATATTATTGGAGTTTTTCTAGACTAATAGTGGCGTTTACACATTGTGATAAGAGAAAGAAATCGAATCCGTAGTTTCTAGTTTTTCTAAGAATTTTGAATTGTACGCATTTATTAGCACACCACAATAACTTGTAGTTTTTAGTTCGATATTGTTTTGCGGGCCGTTTTGTCGTAATCCATAGAATTTCGTAGTTCCTTGCTAAAGGTGGTGATTTGATAGGTGCTGATATCAATTCAGAACTTCAAAACTCCATTGAACATTACAATGAACCCGGAAAACAATATCGATCCAATACTTTAGATTTTATCCATTTCCAAGGAGTTTAGATTTTTGTTGGGCTCTCTTCTGTTAAAGAATTAGAAGGCATTCATGGAATGCCCGTTTGTCCCCTTTTTAAGCTTCTAATAGCTTCAATGGCCAATGAGAGCTACTTTCATTCATCTTTGTATATAATCTTTGATCGGTGATACTAGCAAAAATCTTGCATTGTACAAATAGAAAATACATTTGGAAAAGTATTTTAAATAAAATACAAAATACTTTTCTCAAAAAAGTGTTTAAATACAAGATAAAAATAGGTACTTTTTATTTGGTATTTACATTTTAAATGCAAGCATTTCAAATAAATCACATCTCTGGTAATAAACTAGCTATCAAAGGGCATCTCTCTCTCTCTGCCCAATGTACTAAAGTCTTAACGTTAAGGGTTGTTTCTGTAGTTGAAGTTGGTGATGAGGTAGCGCCCTACATGTAATTAATTAGCCATCTAAAGACCTTTACAGACCCAGTTTGGATATTTTAATACAATAAAAGTATTTAATTATTGTCCTGTATCGGTATAAGGAATTGGTCTTATCGATGATCTATGTCACGTTTAAAGTCGTTAAGACCTGGATTTCCTTCAAACCAAATCAGAAAAGTACTTGTAAATTGATAGCAGATAGAGAAAATTACCACCTGGTGACCATTGTGTTTGTCTGATGTTGTTATTATCATCGTTGTTTTTCTATTATTTTTCGGGTCAGACTATGTGTAAATCGATGCCCTTTTTTGTCGCTCATCACCAAGGCGAACCGCAGCCGTAGTAGTAGTACGCATCGACAAAGTCCAAGTGCACCTCGCATTTGTTTTTTCTCTTCGTAACTCGACCAGCGGTTATCATTTATTTATTTTTTTTTCGTCATCGTTCGATCGCCGAATTGTTAAAATAAACCCTGAGAAAATTCAATGACGCGCGCCCGCTGAAATGCTAATCGAATTAGCCAATTTAGTTGCGGCTTAATGATGTTAACATGCGATATGGTTATGACAGAGATGGCCTTGAATGAAAATTTTTAATGGTCAGATTTAAAAAAATGACACTCCTACGCAAGGCGCTAATACTGCGTTGCGTGCCCGTGTCTTATCTATGAATGACACCGTTGTCACTAAGGAAGAAGAAAGCGCACTCAATTAGTTACTTATATTAATTCAAACAAAAGAAAAACAGGTACAGAATTACAACAATACGTATTAGGATTTTGTTTTTTTTATGATTGTAGGCACCAGTCATTTGTTTTATACTGTCAAAATGCTTTTGTTTTGTTTTGTACAGTCGCATTATTAGGGGAATCCCCTGCAGACCCATGCATTTACTAAAAGGAACACCTCTAGGGCAGAAAAAGGATTGTAAATGTAAAATATCGTCTAGGAATGATATAATGGGACGATTTTTTTTTCGTTTATTGTCTATGTTTAACAAAAGATTACGTAAATTATATACCTACGGTTGGTTTACTATGAGTTATTTTGACGAAAAGCTTTGTGCTGGTGCGGAAAACGCAGACTCATCATCGAACAATAACAGTGTTTATAACAAGATCATTTTAATTAAGTACGACGTCAATCAAAAATTATTTACTGTACCTAAATATACCCTATTACACGTATACAAAAAAAAAATGATAAGTTGATAATAGCAGTTTGGAATGATTTTTTGGGACAAAATCTTAAGATAATATTTGAATTAGTTCGTAAGATAATATGAAGCTCGAGCGTTATCGTTCATTGTTTCGCTTTCTGCTTTCTAAAGTTCTTTTACCAGTTGTGTGATCTTTTTCCTATACTTTCTACTATCCGTTCGGTGAAACAAACGTGAGTTCTAAAAGTAAGATAACTGCATTAATAATAACTTGCTGATATGCGACAAACTGTCTCTGTTTGCTTTGGAAATGTAATAGATAAATCACCTTGAAGTTTTTTGCAGATGATCTTGGTGATTTCCTGATTGGGAAATTAATATGCAAAGTAACCACTATTTATTTTTTTTTTTCGGCTATAATAATTGCACTTCAGTTCCCATACGTTCAGCAGAAACTAATAAAAAAACTCGTAAATTCCAACAGGATTTTACGTCGATCGCTTATTGTTGATTATTATGAGAAATTGTTTAATAAGAATTAACATACCGATTAACACTTGTCTCACTTTTACAGTCAATTTTTTCGGAAATTATTTAACTAAGTAATTTTAAGAAGTACGACAATTGTTATTAGTTTGCGATCAAGCTTCACGTATATTTTAGGATCTTTTAATACAACAGTTTTCTTATGTTGAATTCAGTGAAGTACTGCCCTGTATCTAAAAATTATGGTGTAGTCTGTTTTACATCTAAAGTACGCAGTAGTTATAAAAGTATAAGTTTTTTAGCAAAACAATTTCCAAAAGTACTAAAAGGAATCTATATTTTGTCACATATACAAGATCCCTAATGTAGAAAAGGTTCATGTATTTGTAAATCAACACTTTCTACGGTGAAGCTAGGGCTGAACAAATTATCAGATTGATCGATTGATTAAGATAATTAATCATCGATTAATTGGAATCAGTATTCGTAATAATCGATTGTTATTGTTAAATTTATTAATATTCGTCGAGCACGTGCCTATTTAAAATTCAACAATTCGGAATGGACCATTTTGGGTGAATAAACAACAACAAAATAGTTACCATCAGGCGAATTATATGTAAACATAAAAATATGTTTATAGTTTATCCTTAATTATTCCTTGTACATATAAAATACATCTAAAATATTTAATATGTAATAAATAACGATTTGCGTTTCCAATTTGTAAAGTTCATTTTTTTACACTCTCTCTGATTTTATAATTGAAAAACATTATACAGGAAGTACTACATGACATTTCGTTGTTAGTACACAAATCGAGAATTACTTTTTATTGTTCTGTTCTAAATGTCATACTGTAGGTACTTGGTAAACAACTTATATTTTGATGCATTTTTTTCAAGTATTTGATTTGAAGTCGTGATTTAGAATATGGTGATTGATTATTATCAAACATCAGTTCGCTGAATATTTATTTAGGCCAAACAGGCAGAAAATTGACTGCAAGATTGAAAGAACATATCAAAGACAAAAGAGTACAGGTTTTAGCGCACACTGAATCTGGCCGATAAGAATATGGGCCTCTAATATTTATAAAAGAATAGTTTAATTGCGCGTAAAAATGAAAAGGCAAAGAGGAAGGATGGGTTTGATGGCAATCTTTTCCTGGAAGTGACAACAGAGAACAGCTTTTTCCTGGCTGCGAGCACTTTTTAAATGCATTTCAATTCAGCACCTGTCTCACTTTACCGTTTACCGTAAACATAAATACAACCGTCCAAGTACCTACTGTAACTGTTCTTCAATGTTACTGAAAGTTTTCGAACTTGCAGGAATGCACCCACTTTCGAGAAAACATCAATATCGTTTTCCTCTCTTGTTCTTTCCATTTCTAAACGTTCAACTGCAAATAATACGACTCCACATAGGTAAAACAAAGTCGTTACAACATGTTTAGTCTAAAAACTTCAAACTTTATGTTTATTAAACAGTCAAAAAGTATCTATACTTTACTAACTTTTTTGGCTGCAAAATAAACTTAAAAAAAACCAATTGAGCATCATATAAGAAGGCAAAATTGGTGTAACTGGTAGAGCAAATAGTACAACGTTCTAGATCTAACGATTAAAACATTTAACTAAAATATGACAGAATTGTCCTAGCAAAGAAGTCAGTTTGTTGTCCCTCCTTGATAAGGCATAATGTGCAATTCGTCCACTGCCCAAAAAGCACTTTCGTAAGCGATACCATGGTTTTATATCTTAAGTGCACTGCGTTAGAGACTGGGCTCGTTTTTTGGTAAATTACAAAATCTTTTATAATATGTCTGAACAAAAGAAAGGAAAAGTCTCTGATAGAAAGAATTCTACTGCTTTATTGTATAACACGGACAGTTTTTCTATGCCGCTCAATGAAAAATAATAATTTTCTTCATGATTGACACGTTGAAAAATACTTACTTGCCATAATAGTTTTATTAGCAATTAATTGAGTAATAATGCCATTCAAATTGACACTAAAGGTGCATGACGCCTTCATCGTCCTTCCAACAGTTTCACGGTCAGCCCGGGTCGTTATTGTTATACTTATTAAAAAAAAAAAACACGTCCGCGGATGTTTTTCATTTTGGTCTACTAAAAGGAGTTTTTACATTGGGTCACAGTATTAGGCTAAAAAGGATGATACAAACGTGCGACGGAAACGACGAAGGGCACTGTAGAAATGCCCATGAAACGAGACTTATGGTACAGAATACAACGGTTGTCGTACCATGGTATTTGCATATCAATAGGGGTGCACGTTATTGTAATGGGGCCTCGGTAGATCCTTACGGAAAGTGACCCTCTGTCGAATTCTTTGAAAAACTTTGAAAATTCACTACATCATCATCATCATAAGGTCGTCAGTCTTAAGACTGGTTGGACACGTACCTCCACTCTTTCCTATCCTGAGCTAAACTTCGCATTTCCCTAAAACTAGAACAACCCAAATCCTTAACTATTTGCGAACAGTAATCTAATCTAGGTCTACCTCTACCCCTCCTAACTTCCGTTTCTGCCTTTAATATGTCTCTGACTAGACCTTCGTGCCTGAGAAGGTGTCCTACCAACCTATCTCGCCTATTTTTTATTTACTTCCATAGAGTCCTCTGTTCTCCTACTTTTCCCTTGCATACCAGTATTTTTGTTTTATTTTCATGCAATACTGCTTTGTCAATACCGCTTCCATTTTATTTAAAGTTATCTCTAAATCCTCCTTGCTAGATGCTAGTATTGCTATATCATCTGCAAATCTACGTCGCAGTCCCATCTCTATAATTGCCTGTTGCTCTTTATAGAAACTAAGTATCACTCTTCTGTCTTTGTAACTCATCCGTACATTTTTAAGTATATGTAACATCATTAACATTCACTACATGTAATAGGTATAACTGTATCTCGGAAGTCCTTATGGAAAAAATACAATTTTAATGGACCATATCTCAAAAAAAAATTAGTTTTTGCGACTCAAAACCCATTGAGACTTGCTATATACGTCGATAACTACAAGAAAGCAAAATTTTTAAGAGTTTGACAAAGGGGATTTTCCGTAAGGATTTAGATGAGTCCTTTAAAGGTAATTATGCATTTAAGCAATTAATTGTGTGCTGTTCAGATGATGAGGCATTATAACGGACTTAATATACATAATAAATGTCCAAGGGAAGAGCTACTCCCCTAGCCATCGCACTTGTATTTTTGAAAGGACGAGTCACCACTGATTAGTTTTCCATAAAGAACTTTCCACTGGTGGATTATTGTTGTTGTTATTTTCCTAATACCAAATCGTTTAATTTTGTTCAATGTACGTAAATCATTTTCCAGGTCAAGTACTAAACGATTTGTGCGTGAAGGTAAAGTTGTTTAAAAGCAACAAAAATGTACGCTTAAGGATCGTTTTTGTTATTTTCCAGTACGTCTTACAAACAACTTAAAAGTTATTATATTATATAACTGGCAGTCTCATTATCGCCGGTTTTTAATTGCATAATTAATTGAAAATATTATTTATTCCTGGGGTCGTTGTGCTCTTTACAATTATTATTTGATTAGTTGCACAACTGTGCGATCTTTTTTTTTTTGACAATTCGAAAGTTGTCAAAACGTTTTTCGATCTTTCAAAATGCCACCCAAACCTCAATTGACCGAGGAGGAAAAAATAGCCCTGAAGAAGGAAAAAAAGTTACAAAAGAAGCTCGAGAAAGAACGCAAACAAAAACAGATTAAAGTCGATTATTTAACACGCGAGATTAAATATGGACAGCTCACTGTTTCTCGACATGAGAAGAATTGGAGAAGGATGCTTATCGACATCACGCTTCCACGAATGCGCGAAGATCTTCAGTTTGCGTGGCACAACTTCGAAAGGGTTGTTGACACAAAGGACTTCACCATTTCGCTGCTCATGGACGAACTGGGAGAAGCCGAAGAGCAATATCTAATGAACTTTAGACAACACTGCGACAACATAGATCTGCTCATTCGTCGATTCAGAGATCGCTTGGATGACTTGAAGGACGATTACGAAGACAGTCTCAATAAACTCCAGGCCGCATGTGAAGAAGAACAAAACGTATATCAGCAAACGATAAGCGACGGAGAGGATTATTTGAAGATGATGATATACGGTTTGGATCAGGATATGAGGGAATACGAAAAGAAGGTTAGAAGCACGTACCTGTCCAGGATAGACGAGGATCAAAGGGACTACAACGACATTATACAAACTTTACGAATGGATTTGGAAAATGCACTGACCAATTTATGGAACAAGTCGAAGAAATTCGTCAAAGATTTCGAAAAACAAACGGCCCAAAGGAAGCAAAACTATCTCGCACTTTTGGAACAAGATAATGCGGTCCAAGCGCAAATAAGGCAGAACTTGAGACGAATGGCAAAAAATGCAAAGAAAGTATCATTGCCTTCTCCTCTTTTGCCTTGCAATCTTTCTTTCTTCAACAATTCAATTTTCTTTCTAGTTTGCTTAAGAATCTCCGAGAAGAAAATACAGAACTGATCAGGAGCCGTACGGAAAAACTGAACAGTTACGACAACGAGAGGCTTTATTTAGCCAACTGTTTCGGCACCCTGAAGAAAATCCTGAAGGAAGACGTGGGTATCGACGATCAAAATATCAGTTTGGTTACGATCCTAAGCAACGATATCATGGATTTTTTGAATAAAATAGGCGGCAAAGGCGAACGTATTTTAAAGCTTTCCGCAGTGTGTCGAAAGTTCGAGACGAAAGAGGAAAAGGTTCTCCCGTTTCCTCTTCCAGAGCCAAAGAACGTGGTTGACGCTGAGGCAGACGATAACGAGCCGTTATCGCTGGAAAACGACACTTTTAATGCCGTGGCCGAACTGGATTTGTTTTGGCAACGGGTCGCTCAGAAAGACGCGTCCAGGTACTCCTTGAACGAGGAGAGGGAATTTCTGATCAGAGAGAACGATATTTTGAAAAGAAGATTGCACAAGTATTGTCAGTGCGTCAGTTGTCCCGGCACGTTGACTGTAGAAGAGAAACAGCCAACGACAAGAGGACCAGTCAGTGTTTCAGACGGGAATTTCGAAATGAGGAAATACAAGTGTTTCGACTTCAATCTTTGATTACGATATTTGTACGTACAAAATTCAAATGGCGGCCGCTTGTTTCTTTATTTGGTTGTATTATAGTCGTGACCAACAAGCCACTTCGTTAGCTAATAAAAAGGGAAGTGAAATGATGTCTGGCGATGATTCCAAGTGAAGCTTACCTTAACCTGTATAATATCTATCAACTTTGCCGTTAGAAAATTAGAATTGCAGATAACAGAAATTAAAGAAAAAAAAATGCGCATCGAGGCCACTGAGCTTATTAGCTCAATGCAAAGGAAGGTGCAATGCAATAAAATAAATCTTGCATCTGAATGTAGAACTGATCACATATCCAAATTTGGGATTTCCTCTATATATATTAATCAATATCTTAACGGTTTTTATTTAGTAGCTTACATTTATAGGTAAAGAAGTACCTTGTATAAAATACAGGGTGCTTCTTTACAATACAAAAGCCTTGGATCGAATATTAACATACGAACACGTCCAACAAGTCAAAACACTTATGATTTCCGATTAAATGACAGCAAAGTAGACAGTTTAGTTAATTTCATTCTTTTTTATGAGAATTTCCGATTGTCGACTATCGCAGACCCACAAATCCTACTTATACACTAAGACCGTAGGTACCTTATTGTACAGTGACTTGATAAGCCCGTCCAAGATCGGATAGAAGGTAAAAATTTAATGTTATAATGTGTCATCAGAATTCGTACGTATGCAACCAATTATACACCCGAGAATAGACATTTAATCCCATCTACTACTTTTCAATTGTTAGTTTCAACACGAATATGTCAAAATCAGCGAATTTTAATTCACGATTCACAGAACAAAAATGCTTTTTCTTTTATGGCGTTCTCATTCACTAGTACCTTTTTAAGGCAGTTGAAATTTTGCAAAATCTAAGTCGTTAGAAAGTTGATATGCACAATCGATCACGTATCCAAATTTGATATTCCTCAACATTTCAAAAGCTTTTATTAAACAATATACATGGGCACAAGAAGAAGCACCCGTTTTCAAAACACAACATTCTGTGCTTGTTTAAGTACAATACATAAACATAGTGGTAACTAAAAGTACCGTCGTGATAAGCAATTGGATCGTCCCCCGATTACTCGACGTTCCGTTATCGGTACCAGGCGGGGTTGTTTCAGAAGCAGAATTCTGCTGCCTCAGCCAATCGTAGAGGGGTTGGAAATATTCTATAATGGCTGTACCGTCGTACGCGTTCTCGCCAGTGATTTCTTGAAGGGCCTCCTTCCAATGTTTGCTGGCTCCCAAAGACAGTCCGGCCCTGTGGAAATACAGCGATTCGATCATTTTTCAAAGATTATATAATCCTTTGCTTGTCACTCACCTCAGTTTTGATCCTACGTCTGTGTTTTCGTAGAAGTCGCAGTTATATAGCGGAAGGGATGCGTTGTTGGGGTCGTACTGGCCGGCACTTCTGCACAAACTTCGGTACAGTTGGAACTGTAGAATGAAGGACACGAAATAACTGCAACATTGTTAAAAGAAAAAAACAGTAAATAAGAAGGTAATTTTGAACAGAAGCAATACTTCTTTACCTGATATATTGACTATCCCCTGGGACGTGATATTTTGCACCTGGATCAAAATCGGACGTAGTCCTTTGTACTGGAGCCTTTACCTTTTGAATGGTTTCCCTAAAAAGGAACATCATCAGGGTCATCTTAACCACTACATTCAAATCGCCCAAATTGTTACCTGTGATACCACCATCTGGAGTTCCAGTCCTCTGGAGCGACTGTACCATTAAACACGTCCCATCTCCATTTGTCTACGAGAAGTCCAAATGGTAAAAAGGCAATCTTTTCTAAAGCCATGTCCATCAACTTATTCAATGCCGATTCGTTAGACTGTTGGTAGTTTTCAAGGAGGCCGATCTTCTGGAGATGTCTCGGTGTGGCCACAGACAAGGCAATGAGGTCTCCTACGGCCTCATGGACACCGGGATTGGCTCCTGTGCGGAATATTACCGGCTGGTCCTTGTAAAGGATGTAATACTCTATATGCCCCATCTCGTGGTGAACTGTTACGAAGTCGTTGTAATTGATGCTCGTGCACATTTTAATTCTAAAAATGAAATATTTTACTATAATAGAAGAACAAAGAGTAGAATTTTTACTCGCCTAAAGTCTTCACCGTCGGAGAAGTCCCACGCTGAAGCGTGACACAGAACTTCCCTGTCTGCAGGTTTTTCTATCATGGCTTTAGGCCCGTAACACATTGTATTTGGCTCGAGTCCAAGAGACTGGTAGAAATTATCTGCAGTTTGGAACATTCTCAAAACGGTGTAATTTTGATTTCTCATCGCTGTTGTCACGTCGATGGCTTGGACGTTGGGGTAAGGTGCTACTAGTTCTTTCAGTGCTGTCCAGTCCTGGGCCCACATATTGCCAAAAAGGTGGGCTGGTATCAGTCCATCGGAAATGTCCAGTTTGTCTCCATAACGCTCCTTGAGTTTGTTCCCTACGTATTTGTGCAACTCGTCGTACAAGGGTCTGACTTGATTCCACAAGGTGTCCATGTCGTTGATGAAGGTGTCCGACTCGAAACTTTCGATCCACATCTCCCCCATATTTTTGAATCCTGCAAAAAACAACAACCAATATTGAAAAACGTTTTGACTTTGGAAGGAAACGTGTCGATAGCGTACCGTTGGCTTGCGCTGCTTCGTTGGAAAGGTTTACGTAAGTTTTATAGTAGTCCTTCATTTTTGCCCCCGTTGCATCCCTCCAGGCCTTCCAAACATACGACAGTTCGTCGTAATTTGTTGAACTTGACAAAATGTCTTCAATGTCTAAAAATTTGAAATCAAAATATTTCGACTGGTACGTTTCGAAAATAATATCACTCACCAGGTTCCAAACTCAAACCCTCCGTTGTGAGATCGCAATACTGATTGTTATAGGGGCATATCTTTCCGGTACTGTAGATGTTGGTCATTGTGCTTAATACGTTAGTTAACTGAAACAGAATCCCAAACAATTTCGGTCAGACAAGTCAGATCTTAATTGTACATACCTCGGTTAATTTTTCGGTGTCCAATGCAGCTGTGCCTAGAACGACCAGATCTTTTACCGCCCTTTTTAGAGTTTCATTGGTATAGTCATTAGCATTCAAATCTTTGAAGTAGTATTGCCAGTAAAGTTTATTGAATTCGGCGGATTCCAGTGTTGCTTCGGTCTTAAAAAAGAGAGATTGTTATTTCAGACATCCCAGCATAGATTTATTTATATTTTAGACATCCTGGTGTGGATTTAATTATATTTTAGACATCCCAGCATGAATTGAATTATACGAGGGTGGATTGATAAGTTTCCGGCCTAACCAAGAGATGACGCCACTAGGCCTACCTTGAGGTGACATTCTATAGTACCATCCTTGGATAGCTTGTAGCTATAGTTTCAGCCCGATCTCCTTGCTAGTGTAGGTTTGACAGCACGCTGAACAAGACGCCTCTGTGGTTTTCGTAAAAATGGAAAAGCAGGAAAATCGTGCTGTCATCAAATACTTTTATTTGAAGGGGTTAACGCCGAAGGAAATTAAAAAAGAGATGGACTCAACACTGGGGACATCCTCCCCGTCATATTCAACCGTTAAGCAGTGGGTTTCCGAGTTTAAAAAGGGTCGTGTGAGCACCTCTGATGGGCCTCGCTCAGGACGCCCCGTTGAGGTCACAACTCCAGATATGATCGAAAAAATTCATCAAATAGTGCTGGGAGACCGCAGATTGAAAGTGCGTGAGATAGCTGAGACCTGTAAGATGTCATATGAACGTGTGCAACATATTTTGCACCAACATTTGCATATGGAAAAGCTCTGTGCAAGATGGGTGCCGCGTTTGCTAACAGTCGACCAAAAATTGATTCGAAAAAACATTTCTACCGCAAATTTGTCATTGTATAAGCGTAATCCAAGCGAATTTTTGCGTCGATTCGTAACCGTTGACGAAACGTGGGTCCACCACTACACTCCTGAAACCAAAGAACAGTCTAAACAGTGGATTGGACCAGGGGAACCAACTCCAAAGAAGGCAAAAACAATTTTTTCGGCGAACAAGGTTATGGCTACTGTTTTTTGGGATGCAAGAGGTATTATATACATTGATTACCTTGCAAAGGGTAATACTATCACTGGTCAATACTACGCAGACTTATTGCAACGTTTGAGCCACGAGGTGAAAATTAAACGACCTCATCTGGCGAAGAAAAAAATCTTGTTTCATCACGATAACGCACCAGCGCACACGTCAATCGTTGCGACGGCTAAAATCAACGATCTAAAGTTTGAATTGATGCCGCACCCTCCTTACTCTCCAGACCTAGCCCCGAGTGACTATTTTCTGTTCCCTAATCTCAAAAAATGGCTTGGCGGTAAGAGATTTGCGGACAATGAAGAAGTAATCGAAGCTGTAAATGGTTATTTTGAGGAGCTTGACGAATCAGTCTATAGAGATGGCATTAATAGACTGGAACACCGCTATGAGAAATGTATCAGCCTTGGAGGAGATTATGTTGAGAAATAAAAAAAAAAAATTTTTAAAAACCTTGTTTTTCTTGGTCAGGCCGGAAACTTATCAATCCACCCTCGTATTATAGACATTCCAGCATGGATTTAATTATATTTTAGACATCCCAGCATGGATTTAATTATATTTTAGACATCCCAACATAGATTTATTGATATTTTAGACATCCCAGCATGGATTTATTTATCGTGCACCCCCACTAACCTGCCTTGCTGAAGCATTGGCGTTATTTATATCTGTATCGTAATTCCATTCGGCAATTGCTTCTTTATTATTAATGATGGATGCGTCTTCTTCGTAATCCCTTTCTAAGAAATTTGTTAGTTCCGCTTCTGTCATTGGACCGTTGTATTCCTTCAGGAACGTGTACAAGGGCTCGAAGTATTCCATAAGGGCGCCGGCGCTAATGTCGGTTTCGTTGGTTATTGCATAAAGGGCCTCGCTCCAGTGTTTAGACGAACCTAATTTCAAACCGGACCTACATATAACATATTATTATTAGGATTTCAAAGGATTGCGGTAGTTTCCGGACTCACGCTAGCAAGTTTCCGGCAGCTGTGGATTGGTAAAAGTCGCAGTTGTGTAGAGGCCTGTCGGAACGGTTTGGATCGTACTCGCCAGCAGCGACGCACAGGCTTTTGTACAGTTGGAACTGGAGAATGTGCGCTACAAAATAACTGAAAGAAAAATGTGTGTGTGTGAGTACATATAGAAAATGTCGTAATGTTGGTTCTGGTGTACCTTATGTATTGGGAATTGCCAGCTACATGGTATTTCGCGCCAGGGTCGAAATGGATTTCGTCCGATCGAGTGTTCGGAGCCTTTATCTTTTGATATTTTTCCCTGTAATACCACCACTGGGAATTGTAATTTTCTGGTGTAATGTTCCCGTTGAATACGTTCCATCTCCATTTGTCTATCAATAAGCCGAATGGCAAAAAGGCTATTTTGTTGAGTGCCATGTCCATTAACGAGTTGATGCTGCTCTGATTGGAATCGACGTAGTTATCAAGAAGGTTGATTTTTTGCAAATGTTTCGGGGTCTCGGCGGACAATGCAATCAGGTCCCCGATCGCTTCGTGAAAACCTGGATTCGCTCCCCCTCGCAAACTTAACGGTAAATCCTTGTACTGTATGTAATACTGAATGTGTCCAAGCTCGTGATGTATGGTGATGAAATCTTTACTGTTTACGGAAGTGCACATTTTTATTCGGAAATCGGACCGGTCACACAGGTCCCACGCCGATGCGTGGCATAGAACTTCTCTGTCGCTGGGTTTCACTATCATGGCCCTGGGTCCAAACGCCATGCTCATATTGCTCAAGCTCATGGACGTGTAGAACTCGTTGGCTGTTTCGAACATGCTCGTTGGATTGTAACCTTTCGAAACCAAAGCTCCTGTAACATCCGTTTCGCTCGCAGAAGGATACGGCCGGACTAGGCTGCTCAATGTTGCCCAATCCTGAGCCCACATATTCCCTGAAACAAGGGTCGAATTTCAATTGAGCCGTCCATCTAAGCATTTATGTAGATGTGCGGAATTACCAAACACATGGGCCGGTATGAGTCCGTCTGATATGTCCAAAAGGTCTCCGTATCGTTCTTTCAGCTTCTTGCCCACGTAGCGATGCAACTCGAAGTACAATGGCTTGACTTGTCTCCATAATTTGTCCATCTGGTCAACGAAGTTGTCTGTTTCAAAAGAACTCCTCCAGTAGGCTCCCATGTCGGAATATCCTAGTCAAAAAGAAAACCACGTATAGTTTTGTAACTGTCTAGTATCCACACATATGTATAGAGATTACCGTTGGCTAAGGCTGCTTCGTTTGATAAAGAAACGTAGGTGGGGTATATCTCTTTCATTTTAGCTCCAGAAGCGTTTCTCCATGCATCCCAAACATACAAGAGCTCATTGTAATCGGTGGATGATGACAATATCCCTTCGATATCTACAGTAAGGGTGACAATTTAGTAAAATAAGAATTGAACTGATGATTTTATTGTCTTTACCTGGATCTAAACTCAGTCCTTCTGTAGTTAAATCGCAATCTTGGTTTGCATAAGGGCAAATCTTGGCGGTACTGTAGATAGTTCTCATTACACTGGTGATGTTGCTGAACTAAAACGAATAGAAACAAAGAGGGTACCTGCTGGACTTTGTATTTATTCCAACAACAGAGATTCGTACCTGAGTTAATTTTTCAGAATCCAGAGCTGCTGTGCCCAGGACGGTTAAGGATTTTATTTGTCTTTTGATGGACTCATTTCTGTAGTTGTCGGCGTTCAAACTGCGGAAGTAGTTTTCCCAATAGTATTTTTGAATTTCGGCCCTCTCTAACGTCACAGCGGTCTAGGAATGAATAAAATAGCGAAACGTGTACATAATAAATAGTTTAATGAATGTAATTACCAGTGCAGCGGTTTTTGCGGCATTGTTAACGTCGGTATTGGAATCCCATGATGCTAGGGCGTACTTGTTGCAAATCGCCGAAGCGTTGGCTTCGTACTCCCCTTTCAGGAATTCTGCCAATTCTTCCTCATTTTGAAACGCGCCAGTTGCGAGGCCGATAATTAAGGAACAGTAACATCCAATTAATAAAAACTTCTGGAATTAAATTTTCAGATTTGTATCGGCATTTTACAACAAACGAATGATTTTAATTATTGTATTTAATGATAACATTTGATAGTGGTTAATATTATGCAAACATTAATGTGAAAATTCGTCTCGGGTTCGATTCCCGGCGAGGGTGCGACAACAGAAACAAATTTTTCATCATTAGTATTTCATTTTAATAATTTGAAATATGTACCTGCTGCACCACAAGCTTCATTATCGCAACTAGCAAAATAACACACACCACTGCTGATACGAACGAAGAAGAAAAATTGATGTAGTAAATTTATTGCTAATGTCCTTCGAGCAGTAGTATAGGTATAATAGCGCAATTCGTATAGTTAGTTAAGACACCTCACCTGTCTTACAATAATTGAAAGGCTTTCGTATTCACGAAGCGTGTTGTTGCACTATTTTGAAACTAGAATACTGTACTATTACAAACTTACACACAATAATTAAACTGTCGCAAGCATCGATACCACCTATCTATGTGTGTATAGGTATGTAAAGCGAATCGGGAAAAAAGAATGACCTTTTCCTAAAATTAAACAAACATGCCAACGGTTACGGTCAACCGAACTGTCGCATACAAAAAGGCAATCGAAATTTCAATTATTATTATTAATTGACCCAAAGCCCAATCGGCACTTGCTACGTAACGTTATGTTGTCGGTCTACAGGTGCAGAACTGTTTTTCGAATGTTTTTTCCTTATTTTTGTACGCGAACATGTCCGATAAGAGTACTTACAATAGGAAATTTGAATAGGTACTGCATATAATTAAGATAATATTGAAATACGGTTGGTGAATCACTTTTTTTTTTTAAATACGAAATAACAGTAGTAGAAGCATTTCTTCGGATAAGATAAGGCTAAATCGGACAAATATTTAGTTAACATTTTTCCATGCTTTTATGGCATGCTTTACAATGGAAAAAGTTATGTGGAAAAGATCAAATAAGTAAGTGTATCGCAATTGCAATTGTTTTATTTTTTTTATTGTTGATAAATTGATTCCATAATAATTCATTGTAGAAAAATTATTAAATATCTACTTAAATGTAAAGTAAGAGTAAGTCTCTTCAATAATTTACAATCCAAAAGACAAAATGGTGATGTAGTAGGTACATACGAACGAAAAGTTGATTGATTATTCTGTTAAGTATTTAAAGTACAATATACTTATACCTTTGATAAGCGAGAAACTTGAGATTAAATTTTTTCAATTTCGGTTTATATCAAAGACTTGAAACTTCGAACATTGTGTAAAACTGTGTAATTAAAACCGAAAAACTTTCTATTGCAATGAATTATTTCACGTATGTAAGTAATAAAAGAATTTTAAAAAAAATACAAAAATTTGAGGGAACTGTAAAAAACACCCACAATTCAGTAAACTACTTTATGTTTTACAAGACATTCTAAAAAAACTAACAATAAAACTATAGATTCCACACGAAAACGTTAAGTTTAATATTGGTAAAACATATTTTATAGATTTAATTTACAGAATTATCTGTAAAATATGTTTTTCTAGTAGGTAGATACTACAAGCAAATTATGTTAGATACAAAATACATTTATTTATAAATAGTTATAATACTTACTGTCTCCATAGTTCTTGTCTAGTTTTTAAAATCTAACATAACACTTGCGGAGTCTCAATAGCCAGAAACTAAAGAGTACCGAACAGGCTTACTATTTTAAGTAAGCCAAGTATATTACCTATCTCTTATCAGTTAATCTTATTATTAATCAATCATTTTAATACAATTGCTGCTCCATAAATTGATAGTAGCTTTCTCTATAAAAAAAAAATACAAAAGCCCCACCATGCCGACTCATTTCTAGTCTACTTTCAATTACTTTAATAGGAAATAGTAAACTTCAAGATTAAATATTTCCAATTTAATAGAATATCCTCGTCACAGATGCGACTTCTAATATTTTTTTTGGGTTTGTTACACAAACGGAAGCTTAGCCTGGTAAAGCAAGGGCAAATCAGTGAAGCGAATTACTCCTTATTGGGTAGCTAATTAATATAATATTTGTAGTCGTAAAACCCTCCGATTTTATTCGTTACGACCTTGATATTTTTTTGATAATTTACTGTAAAAAATTACTTTCCATCTAAATTAAATTGATATGATTACTTGCTGTATCTAATAATAGTATTGCAATTCAATTTAATTACGATAGATTAGATAGACGGCTGTTGTACAAATTTGATTGAAACTATTTAGTTGGCAATCGACTTATTGGTATTTTGATAAGCCTCTTATCTGTTTCTTTTTTATTAAACTTTGAAATGTCTAATGCAATTATTTACAATGAGACATTTAAAAGAGTTTTTCTACTTCCTGACATCGGGTTCGATTCCCGGCGGGCGCACGAGAGCAACAACAATTTTTTGTCATTAATTTTTACACACACTACAGCGGTAAACATATGTATTGTCTAGTACAATTATCCAATTTTAAATCAGCAGTGTTTAACATAAACATAAAGAGCCCTTAACATCGGATAATAAAATAAATAATCGACCCATTATTTTATTAACAATTTACTTTATTGCACATATTAGATAAAATAATAACAACAACAGACTTTTTGAAATCGCATTAATTACTGGGGGACTTTTATTGGCAATTCTTTTGTTTTCGTTGACTAGATAATCGTATAAGGGTGAGAAATATTCCATAAGGGCTGAAGGATCGTACTCGCTTTCGCCTGTCATCGTTTTCAGTACTTCTTTCCATGGTTTGCTTGCCCCAAGGGACAGCCCAGCTCTGAAAATAATTTCAATAAAACTCCCACTACTCAATTGAGTTTCAATAGATAGTTACTTCATTTTATCTCCAACTTTTTTCGAATTGTATATGTCGCACCTGTGCAACAGCGATGGTGTTTTTTTGGGATCATACTGGTCAGCTATTATACAAAAGCTTCTGTGGAATTGAAATTGGAGAATATGGGCCACGAAGTAGCTGCAAGTAATGTACATAAGTCTATAAGAACTTCTGCTTCGTTTTTCTTCACTGGGACACTTACCTTATGTACTGATAGTCGTTTGGTACATGGAATTTTGATCCTGGATCAAAATGGACCTCGTCGTTACGTTCTATTGGAGGTTTCACCTTTTGGACGGTTTTCCTGAAGAAAATTGAAACGGTACCTATTATTGTGAAGATTTAAGAAGTACTTTTATACCTGTAATACCACCAGTGGGAGTTCCAGGCCTCTGGGGGCACTTGGCCTTTGAAAATGTCCCACCTCCATTTGTCTATCAGATACCCAAAGGGTAAGAAAGCAATTTTTTCTAACGCCAAATCCATTAGACTGTTAATCGACGATTCGTAAGAATCCTGGTGTCCCTGCAGAAGGCCTATCTTTTCCAGATGTTGTGGAGTGATTACTGATAATGTAATGATATCTCCAACGGCTTCGTGAAAGCCTGGATTGGCCCCGCTCCTGAAGGAAATCGGCTGATCTTTGTACAACATGTAGTACTGTATATGGCCCATTTCGTGGTGTACAGTCACGAAATCCTCATAGTTAACGTTGGTGCACATTTTTATCCTAACATGTATCAGTATAGCAACTAGAGAATAATTGGTAAAAACTCACTCACCTGAAATCCTTTTTGTCATAGAAATCCCACGCGGACCCGTGACATTCTATTTCTTTATCTGTCGGTTTTTCGATGTATGTGACATTTGTATCGTATGACATCGAAGCAGATTCCAAACCGAGGGATTTATAAAAATCGTCTGCTATTTGGAACATTTTCAGCACCGTGTAGTTTTGGTTTATCAATGACGACGTTACATCTACTTGTGCAGCTTCTGGAAACGGACGTACTAGATTTCTGATATTTATCCACGTCTGTCCCCACATGTTTCCTGAAAGGAAGACAGAAAATACCACTGACAGTACAGGAAGTGTATATGCTACTATCTACCTAGCAAATGTGCCGGAATGAGGTTGTCAGAGAAGTCTGCAACATCTCCATAATGTCGCTTCAGTTTGTTGCTTATGTAGTAATGTAATTCGTCGTATAACGGCTTGACTTTTTTCCAAAGACTTTCTATTTCTTCCTCGAAATTGTCAGACTCGAAATCGCTGACCCACATTTCTCCCATGTCCTTAAAACCTTGAAAGGAGTATGAGCTAGCTTTGTGGTAGGTAAACGGTCAAGAAATAAAGTTACCATTTTCAATGGCAGCCTCGTTGGACAAATTGACATACAGGGGGTAAATGTGCTTCATTTTCACCCCGGTAACGTTCCTCCATGCGTCCCATAAGTATAGTAATTCCTCGTGATTCGTTGAAGAAGCCATGATGCTTTCAATATCTTCAAACGTATAACAGTACAACAAATTAAATAAAGTATACCAAAACTTCTACTGTCCTGATTCTGGTCTAAAGACAATTGAAGTTGCTTCCTAAAGAGTCCACATCCAGTATCCGAGATGAAAGAATCTCTCCACTCAACTAATGACAGCTTTTAAACCAGAATTAGGACAGTATCAGTTTACCAATTGGCCATACCAGGTTCTAAACTCAATCCTTCCGATTCCAAATTGCACCCTTGGTTTTGGAAAGGACAAACCTTTGCGGTACTGTAAATGTTCATCATTGCATTTGTCAAATTCGTAAGCTACGATAGAGAAACTTTATCTGTACTGTAGTCTTAAGTGCGCCATTAAATTAACTGGCTACCTGACTAAGTTTGTTTGGAGTTAGAGCAGAACTTCCTATAACCGTCAGGAAGTCGATCTGGCGTTTGAGAGATTCGTTTTGGAAATTTTCATCTGCCAAATCTTGAAAATAATATTGACGATAGTGCTCCTCGAAATCGGCCACCTCTAGCGTCGACTTGAGCTGTCAATATCAATAGGAAAAAATACTGTTGGAATTATACACAGTCGTATGTATCGTAATTTGTACCTGAAGTTCCTCTTTGGTTGAATTCTTAAGATCTACGGCGAAATCCCACTCTGCTTTAGCTTGCTTATTGTAAAAATAACGGGCGTTTTCTTCGTATTCGTTTTGCAAAAGTAGAGCCAATTCTTTTTCGGTTAAAGGGCCATTTTGGTCTTTCAAAAAGGTGTACAGAGGTTCGAAAAAGCTTACGAAACCTTGCGCGCTAATTTCTGAATCTGCTATGGCGTTTAAGAATGCTTTCGGCCAATTTTCTGTTGCTGCAGAGTACAATATCTCCCTTAAAAAATTAACGGAGTAGTTGTAAGAAATTTTGATTCGAAATGATGGTACCTTAGCATGTCTCCCGCTTCGGTAGACCCATACAGGTCACTACCATGTAAATGCACCGAGTCCATGGGGTTCTCCTCCATGGTACTTATTCGATTATAGAGTTGAAATTCTAATATTGTACCTACAAAATAACTAAAAAAATGTCCGGTCATTCAACACTCAGTCCAAAAAAAAAAGAAAAATGCATACCGTATAAAATCGGACTTTCGTAAACTATTTTTACTTGTAACATCTGTCAAATTGTTGGACCATCCATGTGGTTTGCTTATTTTCTGAATTTTCTCTCTGAATTCCCAAAGTTTTGAATCGTAGTCTTCAATACTTTGACGATTGGGGTTTCGAATGATACTTTGGGCCCACTTCAAGTGCGTTACCACACGGGATAGGGAGACAATTTTCTCCAGAGCAATTCCCATAAGAAAGTTGACGTATTCTTTTTCGTTAACTTCGTCGTCATCATCGACGCCATTCGCTTCTTTAACATGGAACGGTGTCAAAGATAAAATTGTTACCAGGTCGTCCAACATCTCGAAACAGGCCCAATCATGTGGCCATTGCCAAGTGCCATTTGTTATTAAAAAATATTGTAAATAATTTATAAAGTATATGTTATGAGAGGTGGCGTAAGTTTTGGGCTTATCATATTCGTCTGATCTGTAAATAAAAATGATAACTGCATAGAAGGAGGTTTTCCGTTTATTTTAGGACTTCATCATCAAAAGATCGTCAGTCCTAAGACTGGTTGGACATGCACTTCCACTCCTTCCTATCCTGATATAACCTTCGCATTTCCTTAAAACTAGAACAACCCACATCCTTAACCATTTGCGAACAGTAAACTAATTTAGGTCTACCTCTACCCTTCCTTCAAGTCAAGACGTCTTCTACCTTCCCTCTTTTTCAGAATTTTCAATTTAAGATTGGTCTTCATAACTACTAAGTTATGATCGCTGTCTATATCTGCTCCTGGATAACTCCTACAGTCCTTCGCTTGATTTTTAAATCTTTGCCTAACAAGTATGTAATGTAACTGATATCTGCCTAAATCACCTGGCATCTTCCACGTATAGCGCCTCCTAACGTGATGGTTGAATTAAAGTATTCGCGACGGTTAAGTTATGTTAATCGCAAAATTCTATATCAGCCTATCTCCCCTATCATTTCTATTGCCTAATCCTATTGCACCACTTTACTTTCACCTTTCACTGCGTCGAAGTCTCCTATAACTACAAGGTTTTCCTGTCGTTTCACTAAACTTAACACGTCTTCTATATCTTCGTAAACCGCTTAAACCCTTATTTTAGGAAATAAGAAGATTGGAAAAACTTTGGCGGTTGTTGTAGAACAAACAAAATAGCTCAAAATCCCAACGCCGAAACACGACACTGTAGTTGTCCGAAGCACTTTTCGGTAACAAGGTTACCTTCTTCAGGGTCTGCAGTGAACTGTCCCTTCTTCAGTTCACTTCAGTCCCTTCTTCAGTTCACTTCAGTCCCTTCTTCAGTTCACTTCAGTCCCTGAAGAAGGTAACTTTGTTACCGAAAAGTGCTTCGGACAACTACAGTGTCGTGTTTTGGCGTTGGGATTTTGAGCTATTTTGTTTGTTCCTTATTTTAGGACTTACTGCAAATAATTACAANCTATCACTAATAAATGAAACTGTATCAATTTGTTTCAATGAAAGCAGAATTATAGCTCAATTAAAGCTATTGTTTTAAATTGTCCCGGCGCCTCCACCAAAATTTTCAATGAGTTTTCTCTGTATTTGCTAATAATATATTTTATTTTCAATATAATGGCGACAGTTTGCAATGAAAAATTCACTTCAAGACTTCTAATAGTATCTTATTATTTTTGTAGCAGTTCTACATTAAAACACGTAGGGGTTTTCAACCAAATTATAAAAGATGATTTCTTTAAAAATATTACTTAGTATTAATTAATTATTTCTACGTAATATTTGGTAGTTTGTTCGAGGATAGTAATCAGTTCACGTAAAAGGAATGTTTTCATGAGAAAAAGCATTTTCTAACTTTCCTTGCAAATATATTACTAAGTGTTGTAATGTTTCCTGTATGTTGGGTTGCCTACTCTATATTATGTTTGTTCCTTATTTTAGGACTTACTGCAAATAATTACAAGTTGAATGTAGAAGCCTGTTGGGAATTACTTCGCAATCGTAGTTGGTCTGATTTTCGTTTAGTGATAAGCCAAAGTGATGCGTTATATTATAGAGACCCATCGATACCATATAATCATTAACAAGTTCAAAAACTTCATTCGGTAATATTTCTGTGGAAGTCCCAGTCGAATTTTTGATTTCGGGGTAAGGTGTGGCAATTTCTAACAAATTAGTCCACGAATCCAACGACGGTGCATCTGCATTGAATTATCATTTATTATGGTGTTATGATTAACAATTGCGATTAGATTTACCTAATAGATTTGCGGGGATTAAGCCTTGGGAGAAATTGAACGTACTTGGGTATTCATTTTCTAGTTTTCTTCCAACATACCGATGTAATTCGAAATATAAAGGACTAATGTCTCTCCATATCTTTTCTACTGTATCCATAAAATTACTGGGAGATATATTTAGAGTTTTTAGTTCATGAGAATTTACAATAATATTAAAATTTTCTGCAATGTCTCTACTGTATATCTACAAAATAGGTTTTGGTATAAACTTAATATAACTAACCACAAAAAATACTTTATTTGTACCTCATCATCAAAAGTACTATTTTCTTTTACAGTAAAATCTTCACTTTTATTATCCGTGGTCAGTTTGGTTGACAAATTTTTGAAATTTTCAAAATTCGGGATGTAATAATAGCAAGAAACATTTTGTCTCATAGCCAGGATAAGCAAAATTATTAAAACCTAAAAAAAAGTCCAAAAAGAGATTATAAAGTTAGTAACAACTTTTGTGTGAATTTTAGTCAGCTATTCTTACCTCAATAAAATGTTTCATTCAAATGTAATTAGTAATGACTTGTAAAACAAAAAAAAAATATTGTTCACTGACAAAAAAGCACTAATTACGGAAATCATCGAGATGATGCCGCATCTCTGGCTAATTTTATATCAACTGATACATAGTGAATGAGTGATGCGGTTTTATTGTCGGATGGTTGCAAAAAATTTGAGATACGGATGATGGCTTGTTCAGATGAAGTTGTAATAAAACTGACTGTTGACGTTAACACTTCTTTTTATTGATTCAATGAAATGTTTTTTTGATTTAGACAAATAAACCTTTCTTCGTCGTTAATGTTAATAAACATTTTGCGCTAATTCATTTCTAAAGATATTCTATATAAGTACGAATGTGAGCTTGTTTGTTTGTTACCATTTCACGACTTAACTATTCAACTAATCATCATAAAATTTTGTACACAGATTGTCAGGAGTACAGAAAAGGACATAGGGTAACTTTTATCCAGAAAAAAAATGTAAAAATTAGTTTTATGTGGTAATCAACGAGAGCGAAGCCGCGTGTGAAAGCTGTAGATATATTTGAAAGGTTTATTTATCAATACATGACGTGTTACATTCTCTTTGATGGGGGAGTGTTTCCTTAAAGGTTTATTTTAGGAACAACTAATTTATTTGTGCACAATTCTAAAATAATAATGCAAGTTATTAACATCTCCGAGCATGTTATTTTTAATTTTCCATAATGTACATAAACGTCATTTGTTTCTTCGTACCAAGGACGCTTGTTAAATTCGCCAAGAGTATAATGTAAACCTTTTTTTTTTACTCCCAACACACCCATACATATGCACATGCAGATTCGCTGGAGTCATTGTTATATTCACAATAATAACTGAGTACATAATTTTAGACATTAAATAGTTAGCACGGACAAGTTTATACCACTTAGTAAAAAAAACTGACCAAAATACGCCAGATGAATTGTTTATAACTTTTTTTATTGTTGTCGCAAGTTTATCAAACGTGTTTAGTTGTTGAGGACGTACGGGACCCAAAAATGGCCCCCACGATCGAAACTATTGTAAACTGTCTACTAAAATTAATTTGGTCAATCAAAAATAATGTAATAAGTTGTAGTAAACATGGTAAACATATTCATTTAAAATTTAGAATCAAAATCAACTAGAAGTGATCTGAGTTTAACCTTAAGGCATGCCCTCCCCCTCATGACCTTTCTGCCAAAGATAAAACCTTAAATATTCAATGATTGTAATTATTGTTACATTATCTAATTATCTTGAATTTTAAGAAAACCACTTACGCACTTTATAAAAATGCTTCGTAATCTTTCTTTTTTTTTAAGATGGTTCCAAAGTGGAAGGCCATCTTGTCTGTCTAATTTTGATTCGTTTGATTTTTGTGTTGTCTTCAACATCTTTTGCTCTTTTCGTGGTTCAGTAATTGCACTTTTTTTTGTAAATAATAGGTTATTTCTTAATTTTAAAGACGCAGGGAAAAATGGACTTCGAGAAAGTTAAATAAAATGAATTTTACAGTTTCTCTAACTGTTGAGTTAATTAATACAATTACGATATTAATTCTGAGGAGGACGAATCGTGATTTTTATTAACCTTTGACAACAAGTCTACCTTCAATTAAAAATTAAATTGCACGTACCTAAACATTACGTGTAAAAAAAACATGTAAAAGTATCAAACAAACAAGTCAATTAATGAATAAGGGTTGATTAAAAATGCATGGAATATGCAAATGGCACAAAACGTAAAAAAGTTGAAAATAAATTAATAAAATGGAATGCGATGTATTTTCTGGACAACAAAATAATAATTTAAACCTTTTTACAACATAATTAGAAACGTTTTGGTATGATCGGCTTCTAAATAGACGATTTACTTACGGCGAATGTTTTAGCCAAAAAGCACATTGCACTAGTTTGTTTATCTGTTTAAGGTATTCATTGACCAAATATAAGAACAAAATTAATTTATACAACAGTCTGCGAAATACTTTTATATGTACACATGTCTATCTTTGCATTCATTCGTTTATTACACAACCTGCTTGACTACTATTTATTGTGCTATTAAATAATGAGCTATAATGATGCCGAATGAAGCACTTTATTGTTTAAAAGTTTGTCTTAAACTTTAGCGTTTTCTGCGCGCCGTTCCAAAGACTTATTACTCTTGGTAAAACGATTTTCAGAAATTTAACTGGTTAATTTCGCGAATCTTCATGAATGTCTTACATTCGACATTAAAACGATTGTTTACAATAATAATTAACTTAATACTTGTAATTGGTATTTAAAATGTGTAAGGGTATTCAACTAAATTTTACACGAAGAACTAACTAAAATATTACTAAGTAATTAATTATTTGTACTTAATATTTGTTAGTTTGTTCGAGAATAGTAATGAGCTCACATGAAATAGTTATTTTCCTGAGAAAAAGCATTTTCTAACTTTCCTTGCAATGAATTTTTTGTAGTCGTTAATAACATTTTATTTTTGATATTGCAGCGACAATTTACAATGAAAATTAACTTCTAGACTCGTAATAATATCTAATTACTTTTGGTTCACGTAAAAGGGTTATTTTCATGAGAAAAAGCATTTTCTAACTTTTCTTTCAAATACATTACTAAGTGTTGTAATATTCCCTGTATGTTGGGTTGTCTATACTATATTATGTTATAAATTGAACTTTAATTGTAAAATGAAAATCGCTGATAATATGTTTTATTTTTGAAATTGCTGCGACAATTTGCAATGAAAATTAACTTCCAGACTCGTAATAGTATCTAATCACCTTTGTAACAGTTCTAAATTAAAACACGTAGGGATTTTCAACCAAATTATAAAAGATGATTTTTTTAAAAATATTACTTAGTATTAATTAATTATTTCTACGTAATATTTNAAGTGGAAGGCCATCTTGTCTGTCTAATTTTGATTCGTTTGATTTTTGTGTTGTCTTCAACATCTTTTGCTCTTTTCGTGGTTCAGTAATTGCACTTTTTTTTGTAAATAATAGGTTATTTCTTAATTTTAAAGACGCAGGGAAAAATGGACTTCGAGAAAGTTAAATAAAATGAATTTTACAGTTTCTCTAACTGTTGAGTTAATTAATACAATTACGATATTAATTCTGAGGAGGACGAATCGTGATTTTTATTAACCTTTGACAACAAGTCTACCTTCAATTAAAAATTAAATTGCACGTACCTAAACATTACGTGTAAAAAAAACATGTAAAAGTATCAAACAAACAAATCAATTAATGAATAAGGGTTGATTAAAAATGCATGGAATATGCAAATGGCACAAAACGTAAAAAAGTTGAAAATAAATTAATAAAATGGAATGCGATGTATTTTCTGGACAACAAAATAATAATTTAAACCTTTTTACAACATAATTAGAAACGTTTTGGTATGATCGGCTTCTAAATAGACGATTTACTTACGGCGAATGTTTTAGCCAAAAAGCACATTGCACTAGTTTGTTTATCTGTTTAAGGTATTCATTGACCAAATATAAGAACAAAATTAATTTATACAACAGTCTGCGAAATACTTTTATATGTACACATGTCTATCTTTGCATTCATTCGTTTATTACACAACCTGCTTGACTACTATTTATTGTGCTATTAAATAATGAGCTATAATGATGCCGAATGAAGCACTTTATTGTTTAAAAGTTTGTCTTAAACTTTAGCGTTTTCTGCGCGCCGTTCCAAAGACTTATTACTCTTGGTAAAACGATTTTCAGAAATTTAACTGGTTAATTTCGCGAATCTTCATGAATGTCTTACATTCGACATTAAAACGATTGTTTACAATAATAATTAACTTAATACTTGTAATTGGTATTTAAAATGTGTAAGGGTATTCAACTAAATTTTACACGAAGAACTAACTAAAATATTACTAAGTAATTAATTATTTGTACTTAATATTTGGTAGTTTGTTCGAGAATAGTAATGAGCTCACATAAAATAGTTATCTTCCTGAGAAAAAGCATTTTCTAACTTCTTGCAAATATATTACTAAGTGTTGTAATGTTTCCTGTATGTTGGGTTGCCTACTCAATATTATGTTATAAATTGTATTTTAATTGTAAAATGAAAATATTTATAAAGTAGCATCCCTGACTGCATCTGCATGCAACAAATATCATTTAAAAATGGAAATCTATGAATTTGTATCAATGAAACCGAAATTATAGCTCAATTAAAGCATTAGTTTACCTAAGTGTTGTAATATTCCCTGTATGTTGGGTTGTCTATACTATATTATGTTATAAATTGAACTAATTGTAAAATGAAAATATTTATAAAGTAGCATCCCTGACTGTCTAATTTTGATTCGTTTGATTTTTGTGTTGTCTTCAACATCTTTTGCTCTTTTCGTGGTTCAGTAATTGCACTTTTTTTTGTAAATAATAGGTTATTTCTTAATTTTAAAGACGCAGGGAAAAATGGACTTCGAGAAAGTTAAATAAAATGAATTTTACAGTTTCTCTAACTGTTGAGTTAATTAATACAATTACGATATTAATTCTGAGGAGGACGAATCGTGATTTTTATTAACCTTTGACAACAAGTCTACCTTCAATTAAAAATTAAATTGCACGTACCTAAACATGTAAAAGTATCAAACAAACAAGTCAATTAATGAATAAGGGTTGATTAAAAATGCATTGAATATGCAAATGGTACAAAACGTAAAAAAGTTGAAAATTAATTGATAAAATGGAATGCGATGTATTTTCTGGACAACAAATTAATAATTTAAACCTTTTTACAACATAATTAGAAAAGTTTTGGTATGATCGGCTTCTAAATAGACGATTTACTTACGGCGAATGTTTTGGCCAAAAAGCACATTGCACTAGTTTGTTTATCTGTTTAATGTATTCATTGACCAAATATAAGAACAAAATTAATTTACACAGCAGTCTGCGAAATACTTTTATATGTACACATGTCTATCTTTGCATTCATTCGTTTATTACACAACCTGCTTGACTACTATTTATTGTGCTATTAAATAATGAGCTATAATGATGCCGAATGAAGCACTTTATTGTTTAAAAGTTTGTCTTAAACTTTAGCGTTTTCTGCGCGCCGTTCCAAAGACTTATTACTCTTGGTAAAACGATTTTCAGAAATTTAACTGGTTAATTTCGCGAATCTTCATGAATGTCTTACATTCGACATTAAAACGATTGTTTACAATAATAATTAACTTAATACTTGTAATTGGTATTTAAAGTGTGTAAGGGTATTCAACTAAATTTTACACGAAGAATTAACTAAAATATTACTAAATAATTAATTATTTGTACTTAATATTTGTTAGTTTGTTCGAGAATAGTAATGAGCTCACATGAAATAGT